GGGGGTAAGAGGTGAGGTGAAATGCGGCTTAACGTCGTACTTGAGAAATGTTTCGCTCATATGACGACGTGCATGCGTGTGCATGTGTGGCTGCTTGTACTATCCCAGACTTGAGCCAGGCAACGACCAACAAGTACCATATTTAACATCTTTGGTATGACCTGGCCGGGGATCAAACCCACAATCCAGGGGTAAGAGATTTAGCTTGTGACTGCACTGATGTATGAAGGCTTTAGAAGTGGTTATGTGGCCCAGTGGTTTGTGTTAGCTTGTTGGCTCCCACCTATGTATGTCTATTCCATAACACCATTAAAATTTAAGTCACTTTATGGGTGATAAAGGGACTGTCTGAAAGATCTTTATGAAAAGAGAAATGTAAACATTTGGTAGATATATTCCTGACTCCGACTGAAGATAACACATAAAAATATAGCATTCTGTGAAAGGAAAATCTTGCCAGTATGAATAATAAGGTAATGGTCTCATTTATCCAATGGCTATTGGTATTCTTCATGTAAGTTCATTTGTAATTTATTGTGTTACTGACATTGTCAGGTGAATAGCTTGCGCTCTTTAAATAGACAATAGGGCTTTTAGGGCTCAGTCTAATTTAACAAGCTGATATTTCAGTTCACAGCATTCTCATAGTTCAGTTAAACTCCATAGGGTGTCCTCCACACACCAAGGGAATTTTGTAAGTGGTGGCCCATTCAGGGTTACATAACACTCGTTATAACATTGCAGACTTGTTCTACAGTCAGAAGTGTATTTTTTTCTGCAATTCTCTGTAGACATCTGTCCTTGTGCCCATACTGTCTGCTTTCTAATTGGTTTGTGAATGTTTGAATTTTTACTGACAAATGGAAAGTTGTTGAAATCAATGCATTATATGCGAAGCAAAAATCCAACCTTGAAGTGCGTTCTGGCATAAATATATTTTGCTAATATATCGTCATTTTTTCACATGCATTTAATTAAATATTTTTATGCATTTAATTACTGGAGCATTTGAAGATCAGTGTACACCAGCCACATGACATGGATGGAATTGGTAAAGGGAATAGATATTGAAAATGGGAAAGTGTTGGCAGATGACCATCCAGTGCTGTCTGGAGACTACTAAGTGCTCCACCACATCTGACTGGTGGTAGAGCTGTGTGAAACAGACCATTATTCACTTACCATATTGATGATGCCTATCACGGGACCGTTTAAAGAAGATACAATACATTTCCCTTATCCACTGGGGACATTAATACATAGTGGTGCTCAGGGCGCTTGAAAATTGAGACTTAAGTGGGAGTTTTTTCAAACCGCACACAACATAATAAATTTGTCAGTGATTGAGTGTCGGTGAAAATGGCTTCTTCAGATGTCGATGAAACTAAACAGTTTTTGTGATAGTTACAAACTAATTATATATACTTCTATGCTGTTGTTTACTGTAAACGTGTAATATACAAAAATATGCCCTGCATGTGAAGTCTTGGTCTAAATAAGGGCACTCTAAATGATTACTTAAGCTTGGATTAGAAGTAGAAAGGGTGCATCATTTAGAAGGGTGTTTTATACAGCGAATATGGTATGAGCCAGAAGAAAAATATAGAGTGAGGCAAAGTCCACAATATCTGAAGCTGACAAATATCCATGCAAACTTTACTACACATATCGATCTCTCTCACGTAGTAAGTCAGGTATGTCCCAGACAGACCAAGTTCCTGCTGATTAATGAACACCTAGTTGAATCAATAGGGCAGTAACAGCTTGATCTGTTGGAAGTAGCAAGGTGAACATGTGGTATCCCACTCAATACTCTCTTGACTTCATGGTACAGGGGAAACTCTTGCATCCAGTTACTGTGAAGCATCAATTTGCTTGATAATATGTACTATTTTCATGTAACGCCCATTTATTATTTAAGGAATTAGTCATCTGAAAACAATTTTATCTTTCTATCAGTATCTTGCTTTCTGCTCAGATTGGTATGTATATTTTCAGTGACTGATAAAGATACACCCTGGGTAGTAGTGAGTAACAGATCAAACAGTTTCATCTTCGGCTGTATTATTCACATTTCTTGCAACAGATAACTTGAATGAAGATGAAATTGTCATGTCTTTTCATGTGTATATCTTCAACTTTTCAAGCATATAACATTGGCAAATAGCTGACAAGTGGATTTCTCAGTGTAGGTCTTGAATCTGGATATCTCTTTCATGTAGCCATGCTTCAAGTTGCATTCAGTGCAGTGGGTATTCTAGTGATTAACACATTGTACATGTTGCGGTCCAGGGTGGTGGTGTGGGTAAAGTGTTTGCTCATGTTGACGACTTCGGTTGGATTCATTGCTCTGATACATACAAAACTCATTCCTGTTAAAACCTGTTGTAATATTAGTGTTGTCGGACAGCTGAAGGACAATACTGAACAATACTAACAGAATTTGCCTGCCTTGAAGATGAAGTTCGAATGATAACATTCTACTTCTGTGGCATCCAGTCCCCTGTCCTTCATAACACAGCACATGTGACCGTATTACGGCAGTGTGATGTAAACAAGGTGGAGTCTATTTCAATGATCTTTACTGTAGAAATAGGACATGTTCAAGCTCAATAAACACACTTCCTAGCTGGACAATATGTGTGTACTATATGTCAGTGTGTGCTGCTTGCTTCACAACAAACTACATACACAGGGAAGTATGTTTGTGCTGCTCATTAGGAACACTGAATACATGTGTTCACTTTATCTGGTCAGATTACTGATTACTCAGTTGCTATAAGAGTTAAAACTGAGCTCCAAAACTGGTTGTCAGATATGTCCCCAAGCCTTGTGGAAACTAAAAATTGAAATGTTGATACCTTGAGGTTTGTAATAGTGTGTTATTTGTGCCCATTGTATTTCCTATGAGCCAGGTACATGAGGAATGTGTACACTGTATGTATATTGACATTGCAAGGTATGCTGTTATTCGTTGCTTCTGTTGGTATGGTATACAGCAGGCCCAAGGATATCATTTCTTGGCAACAATTCCTTACAAGATGTCAGTTTGTGGGGATAGGTTATACCAACACACCATCTGTTAATTCAAGATGCAGTGTCCTCAAATCAGGCATAGTATGTGAATCCCCATACCTGATTCCGCCACACAAACACTGCCACCAGCTTACTGTGCCAAACAACCAATAACTTGTTGGTTATGCTCACGGTTCCTTTGCTTTGACCATCAGAATTTGGTTAAACATTTGTACTGGATTTCCTTTGAACTTGCTGTTATTTTATGGGAGTCAATACCTGACATTCGTGTATCGGTCATTTTGCTTGTGAATTCAGCTGAGAAATTGTTGGTGTTGTTCTCATGTTCATTAAAAGAATCATGGCTGCATTCTTACCATAAACTCTTGTAGTTTCGGTGTAGCCTCATGGTTTCAGCATGTGCTTGTCATGACAAAGGTATTGGTTCAGTATCTGAAGCCTGTTCTGAGATCCCCTGCTAAAACAATGCTCACTCACTCACTCACTCACTCAAGGAAGGCATTATGGTAGATACATATAACATGCATTCTTTTAATCTGATGCTGTGTACAGTTTTGATTCTCACGTTTCCTTTGAACACATGTGCACTGCGTCCAGATATTTGTCTGCTTCCATTATGATGATGCCTGTATCCGCAAGGTGTTGTGGCCACCGTAGTCAGCATGACAGTGTAATAGTATCGTTTGGGGACACTCTGTTTTTAGCATGTTGAGTCATCCTGGCTACTGAGTGTGGGTAGGCGATTCGGGGAGGTGTGTGGGTGTTGATCACCACGCTGAGATTCCTTTCACCATTACAAATGTCATCAATGAAACAGGATCATATGAAGTGGGGCTGTTTTGTTTTGGTGCCAATGTAGAGCTGTTTTCATCTATAGAGCTAATCCATGGCAGGTGTTCTTGAGAATGAAAACATATCTGAATATCTTAGGTAACACATTGTTTTCATGTTTTATCCTGAATTAATTAATAAGGACCAGAAACAGGTGACCTTTGTTTATGTCAACAGTGTAGACCTGGAACTATTAGGATTGGCTTTGAAGGTGGTTGGGCAGTTAATGTCTAAAAACATGTTTTGATCGGGGATCATTTTGTTATTCAAATAAGTGATTGAGGCATGCACAGAGTGGACATTGTTTATGTTTTACAGTAATAAAGTTACACTGGTGGATTTGTCCCTTGTGTTCAAGATGTAAGAAAGGTTCAGTGAAAGAGATAGAATACATGACACATTTTTATGTCTTCTTTGAGTGGCATTTTAGAAGTTGGGAAGTACAATATAGAACAAACTTTATGGATAACAGCTTCTTTTTATTCGCACTCACGAATAAAAAGAAGTTGTTATCCATAAAGTTTGGTCTACATTTTTATGTATAACAACTTTTTATTCTTTATACACCATTTCAGAGCTAATTCTTGCTCCTTCATCAAGTGAATCCATAAAAACGGGTCATGTGTTCATGTTCGTCCAACTTCTAAGTGCCTTTCAAGAAGTTTATATAGAGATAGGGTATTATGTTCTGCCTTGACAAAGAGTCTTTGTAGATTGCTTGATGATGTTCAGAGAAAACTGTTGTACACAATTACAAAGTTTGGTGAGTGTAGAAATGTGATGTAATGGAAGGACCAGTCAATATACTTAGTAAGAATGCTGTATCCATGTCAAAACAGTGACAATGTACCTCCATGGGCTAGCCACTCACTCACTCACTCACTCACTCACACAAGCAAGCACTCACTCACTCACTCACTCACTCACTCACTCACACAAGCAAGCACATGTACTCAATATTAACAATGGAATGGTGACATAGCAGCTTGGTAACTGCACCTTCTGGTTTTAAGAAGACACAGTTATAACAGTTCAGTTTGTGATGTACTATTTGTGGGTCACTTCTTCCCATGCTGCCATGATGTGCCAATGTTTGTAGATGCAAGTCATAACCAGCGTTGTTTGTGTTTCAGTTCATGCCAGTGCCCCCCCTCCAAGACAATGGATACCCATTGGCCACCCTGACAAGAACAAGCCTGCAGGTACGTCCACCAGTGTATACACCTGCACAACCTGCATACAGTGTTGGTCAGAAACACGCATACCAACATAATCTGTCGACAGTGTTGGTCAGAAACACGCATACCAACATAATCTGTCGACAGTTTTTGTCAGCAACACACATACCAACATAATCTGTCGACATTGTTGGTCAGAAACACAATTACCAACACAATCTGTGTACAACGGTGGTCAGCAAAACACATACCAACACAATCTGTGTACAACGGTGGTCAGAAACACACCTACCAACACAATCTGTGTACAACGGTGGTCAGCAAAACACATACCAACACAATCTGTGTACAACGGAGGTCAGAAACACACATACCAATACTATCTGTGGTCAGAAACACTTGTCATACAACAGCACAATCTGTGTACAATGTTAGTCAACATCACTGGTACATGTGATTATGAATCGATACAGTTTGTTTCTTTGAGCAATAACTGGTGACTTCTTTGAGAAACCCCCTTCCCAAGACGGATGGAAACTTCACTGGATTTGAGACTTGACTATCCAAATGGATAGACTTCAATTTCATTAAAATAATTTAAAAATATAAATTGTGACAGGATGGAACGAAAAATTCATTTCTTGTGTGACATATACACTGTTTGCGAGTTTAATAAATATCTTTCAAGTGGTGGTTGACAGGTTTCATTCAAGGTATGTTCCTGAATTATTTGTTTCTGTGAACCGTATCTCTTTCTGAAAGGATAGGTGTTGCTATAGTCTGTCGTACAGACCCTGAAGCAAATATATCCAAGAAAGCCCACGCAAGTCTAGAAAATGTGGCAAGTCTAGATTTCCTCAGCTTCAGAAAATGAAGAAAGTCTCAGGGCTCCTTTTCATTATATTATATTTTTTTTACTATGAACTTTTTTCAGTAGAATATGCTCATTTCAGAGACTAGTTGTTAGTCTAGTGTTGCCAGTGCATTTCCGGTTTTTACAGGACTACAAATGATATTGTAACAGGTGTTCCAGCTGATTGATAACTCTACAAATCCATGAGCAGTAGGTGGTGCATATTTATCTGTTTCATCGGCTGTAGGTGATTGTTACACAAAGGTAGAGTCAAAATGGCCATGGTATGTGCTATCTGTCGGAAGTGCAGTGAGTGAAACCGTGTAAATATACATTTGCTATAATTGACGGGGGTTACACTCCTTCAGCGGTGTGTGTGAATGGGAAGTGTTGTGTCCATTGTTAGACTTGTGATACTATTACTACACCTAGTAGGTGGAATGTTGAAAGCATGGCCTGGTGTGGGGACATGCAAGTGTATGTCAAACCCTGTATGCTTATCATTTGAATAAATCCAAATAGAGGGATTTATCTTGCCAAGTCAGGTGAGGTGAGTAGGAGGGGTGGACTTTGCTGTGGCGTAGCTAAACAAAGGTGAGAGAAGGGTAGGCTGTGGTTTGGCTCAAATATTAGATGACGGATTTCCTGTTGCGTATAGTCTTTAAATATCTTCCCGCCAGTCTTACTCCCCTGGTCTGGCGGTTTACTCTCACTCTGCCTACAGACATAATAAATGTGTAGGCAGAATGAGAAAAATCAGGCCACCCCTAATTTAGAAATGTACTTGCCCATGACAATAACAACACAATCTTGATTGTATTCATATTCATCACTGAAAATAAAATGTATTTCTATTGCCAATGTATGCATACCTGATAGGATTAAACTCTGTTATGTTGATGCAGATTATGTACGTAACCATATCATGCCAAATGTTACAAAGCCATTTCGGAAAGATGTATTATTGGCATGGTGCCATTACCTTAAGAAATGTTATTTAGAGGTAAAAGAAAACTCAGATATTCTTTGCCAATCTCTATGGTTCAACAATAATATGCAAATAGAGGGGAAATTTGTTAATTACGAATATATGGCAAAAAGGGGACTACATTTTGTTAATGATATCTTATATCTTGTTAGAAAAAGCTGATATAGAAAAAAAATAAGGAATACCTAAGCTTAACTTGTTGCATCTTGAAGGTATAAAATGTGCGGTGTTGGCTTACTGCAGAACTAAACATATAACTGATATAGGAAAAAACTGTTCTGAGTTTGAAAGCCCAATATTACCTTTTAACATATCCTGTATTTGTGGAGAAAACCAAAGGAGTAAAACCTTCTATAACCTTCTTTTGCCACAATGTCAAGCCAGCCCTACCGGCCAAGGTGGTTTCAGTTTAAGATTACTCTTAATATTTTAATGACTAAATACAAATTACATTTAATGAAATATACTGATTCTCCCTTGTGTTCTTTCTGTGAATCCACTCCTGAAACAATAATACATTTATTATGTGAATGTCCATGTACTGTTAGCATATGGAAGGAAGTATCCAGTTGGCTTGATATGTTATCCGAAGGGAATATCAAGTTCTCATGAAAATATTATATTTGGCTTGAAAGGCAAAACCAATAATCCACTTAATGAGGTCTTTCTTATTGTTAAGTATACACTATATAAAATGTGTTTTAAAAATGTGAAGCCAAACTTTCAATATTTTCAACGGGAAATACTAAATTATTATAAAGCCACAAAATATATTGCCTTTTCAAATGCAATGCCAACACAGTTTTATACCTTTTGGTCCTCCTTTCATACACTCTTCTCAAATATCATGGACCCCTGATGTATCAGCTATGAAATGAATATGACTCATGATCACTGTAACTGTGCAGATTTCTTATATTATAACAGGTTATATTATAACATATTATAGCCTAATGGTTAAAGCGTTGTCTCGTCACGCCGATGACCCGGGTTCGAATCCCCACATGGGCACAATGTGTGAAGCCCATTTCTGGTGTCCCCAGCCGTGATGTTGCTGGAATATTGCTAAAAGCGGCGTAAAAACCAAATATTATCAGTCAGTTATATTATAACAATATGTATACTTATTGAAAAGTGCTGTATAGCATGTTTTACCGGGGAAAAAAACATAAGAATGTCCATATAACAAGGATGAATCAAAACACCTCAAACAAAAAACCGAAGACACACACACACACAAAACAAGACACAAAAAACACAAAAAACAAACAAGCTCTTCCATTTTTTCTTGTGGGGAGGTAGGGTCAAGTATTATCTATCGCTTTCTCTTTCTGCCTACACAGTTGTGACCAACAGAACATGACTTGTGTTGTTTTTAGCTGTAGGCAGAATGAGATGTAGGCAGAATGAGATGTAGGCAGAATGAGATGAAGGAGATGTAGGCAGAACGAGATGTAGGCAGAATGAGATGTCGGCAGAACGAGAGGACACCTACTCGTTAAGGTCTGGAGGTTGCTCCCACTTTCAGGGACACAGTGTGAATGTGATGACCAAACTCTGATTGTACTCACAAGCATCACTCTAATATTGGCATCAGGAAATGGTGCAAATGTCAGTTCACAGTTTGCCTTGTGGTTGTCTTGGATATTCAAGTTCAAAATTAGCTTACGTATGTGTTTCCTGAGGAAACTGCTCAATAAAATTTATTTTAGGTATCTGATGTTCTTATTGACAGCTAAAATAGAACGATACTGTGGCTTGTAAACATAAAAATGAAGTGAATGAAGGTGTTGAACAAATAAAATGATGCACTGGCGATTTTATTGTAGATGGTAAAGTTGACCAAAAACACATTACAGTTTGTGAAAGTAAATCTTCAAATGATGAATAGTGAAATTGTCAAAAAAATTGTTCCCAACATTCTACTCTTATTTGCATAGAACAGGACACACACAAATAGGGCAAGCATAGGAAACATTTTATAACAGCTGCAAACTTCTAAATGATCTAAATATCAAGTTGGTGTCGGAAATGATTCTGTTTAACATGTCAGTGTGTCATCCCAGTGTTCATGTGTTAGAGGATTGATTTGAGGTAGAGCGTGCAGACTGTTTAGTCGAGTCTGATAATAAGGCTGATCGGTACAATGTAATAAAATCCAGCTTACTTTCTCACGAATGTAACAGCGGGCATTCTGTGTGTGTTACATGCACATGTTACTCTGGAGAGGATGATTTCCATATTTGTGTATGCAAGAGGTTCGGGAGTATGGAAGAGGCAATATGGAGTTAATGGCTGTCAGTTTACTACAGGTTTCACATAGTATTGGTTGTTGAAGCATCAACCTTAACCCTATCTTGGCTAAGAGCAGGATCTTCCTATTTCTTTTTTGTCTCTGAACCAAGACTAAGGTATGCAATGTTATCTGACATGGATTTTGTCATAAATATAAACATGAGTATTAATGAAAACTAACTTTTTCGTAGCGCATCCATGATGGCTGATAGTCAAATTGAATGTACAATACAATTGGGATATATCTTATAGGTAAAAGCAGCTGTCATTTTTGGCATATACTGGGTAATTAGCCTTAGGTTGCTATGGCAATTCTTGTTTGATTTTATTTGAAATACATTGTCCATTTTCAGAGCTGATATGCCATATAATATTAATTTGGAAATTGAATGTGAATGTACTTTTATGAAAGTAGGTGAGCTACAGTGCATTCATACTTAGATCATGTGATCCAGTATACAGTCACAGGGGAGACCATTCATCATTGTAGTGGAATAACTTGTATGACCCCGGACTCACAGAGGGCGTCCATTAGCAGAAGGGTGTACCTCACATTGATATTCATGGATCTTCCTCTTGACGTTTTTGGGCCAATGTTACTATTTTGGACAGTCGGATGGGAGGGCCCTGACAGTGATGTGGGCCAACATTGGTGATGAGTTACTCTTACAACGCAACTACTGTGACAGTCAGGAAGTCAGGTGGTCTAAATATGAGGAAACAACTAATAATAACCTGACAAGGAAGGAATTGGTAGGACATAACGTGACATTGAAGACTTATGCTTCGTTTTGATATCGTCTTCAATAAGAGGCTTGTATTCTCTATTAAGAAACTATAAGCACATTACCATTATTAATTAGAAATGAGAAACATATCCATAGCAGTTATTGACAACTGTATTGGATGCCCAGGACTGTATGGGTGGTGGTTAGCCATGTACATACAGCGCTTACTCGTTACACTGTAGCCCTTGGTTTGATTCCCGACATGGGTACTGTGTGACGCTATTTTTAGTGGGACATACGAGGATAAGTCTTTGGCTGTATCAAACCCAATTCATGTCTTCACTTGCTCATTTGTGGACACATTGCTTGATCACAGTGGTGGTGGTGGGCAGGAGTCATACTGGTTCAGCCCATCTAATCATGCACCATCATGTTTAGTCCTGGGTATTTTGGACACTTTCTGTAGTGTATTGGACATAATAACACGCAGTCCCTGTCAAGACTTGCCACTGGGTCCTAGTTGTCTTTTGACCTACTTTCAATTGATTTGAGGATAATGTGATGGTACAAACATGTCCATTTCCCACAAGTGTAGAGAATGGACACAGAGAACCCCAATACCACATCCAGAGAGACGTACAAAAATACTAGAAGAGTAGTTATCTGTCAGTCATTTCACCAAACCGTCATGACCATTGTCCACATGACCACTGATTCATTCCAGGTTCTGAAAGGAATTATGTGAACATACAGTACACTACACCATCTCAATACTTTTTGGAAGTCAAGGTAAAACCCTGATAATGGCAAATATTTCATTACAGAAAAGGTTAGTGGACATAAGCTTCCAGTGGTAAACTAAAATCTAGTCTCTGAAGTGAAAATGTTTTACAGTGGACAACAAATAATACAAAACATAAAGTACCCCAGTGATTTTCTTTTGTTTGAGAACTGCAGTCAACAGTTATACACTTACATGGCTGTATTGTATATATTTGTTTCAAGGTGTGTTTGATGTACTTCACTAGTGGCTGAAGTTGTCGTCAACAACCGAAAGCCCACTCATCTAAACACCAGTACTTTTATACTGAACAATGAAAACTTGTTTGATTTTATGAATGAAAGATTCTATCTTCCTGTTTGCTGTCACTTCAATACTGCCATATAAATTTGTTAAGTAATCATTCTATACTGTGAAGAACTGGTGACACTCCCCTTACCTTTATGCATTGAGAGGACCAGTGCTGTTGGGAGATATCTATTTTAGTCTTTGTAATACAATGTAGCTCAAGTGGAGCATGTACAATGCAGATACTGTTCACAAACTGCTGTAGTTTTGCCTTTAAAATTGTTTAATAACATGCTTAAATTTAAATACTTGACAAAATATTTGAGGAGTTGTATTTATTGTTGAATAGGTTTTATTATGTTAAAATTATGTTTGAAACTGTTCACATTTGTTGTCAATGTGCTTGTCTTGTTGACTCAGTACTCCGCCTAGCTGTAATATGGATGTGTAATATATGTAATATTGCTGACGTCAGAAATAAAGCACAGATGAAAAACATACATACAGTAAGCTGTGGTTAGAACAAACACAAAGGGACCACCAATATTAGTTCATTGTATCTGTAGGTCATAAGTTGACTAAAATATCAAGTAAGTGATAGGGACTAAAAACAGTTCTTAAATCTGTTTGCTGAAGGGATGGTGTAAATCCAACTAGGGTCCATGCAGGTAGCAAAGGTACTGTAAGTCCCCATGGTCCCTAGTATGGTGATCTACCTTCTGTTGTTGGCGATCTATAGCCTGTTATATATTGTATTGTCCAACTAGTGCGATTAGTTTTAACTTTCCATGCTAGTTTTAATTTTAATTGTGATATTCTAGTTGTTTTACTGTCCTTTGTCGACAGGTTTTTATAATATACATATATTCCATTTCAATGTCAAATATGTTCTCATCACGATATGGCTGCAATATTGCTGATGTGACGTTAAATAATAACTCACTCACTCACTCTTAAATCCGTTTGTTTCGTTATAAAAGTAGTTTACTGTTCATAATCACTACCCTGTTCACAGCAACCAGATAGCTGCAAGATATACTGATGTATGTTTTCTGGCAATCAATGCCAGTGATAAATAGATAAATACTTTCAGATCCTGTTTCCCTGGTTGAACATCCCCCTGGCTAAGTGAATGGTTTTGTTACTGGACTCCCTATATTCAAAATGTAAACAATACCCGCTCATTAAGGGGGGCTATAGTCTTGCCCTTCAAAGGAAGTCATCTGATCCTCACTGAGCTTTGTAACCTTTGTGTTTGTGACCTCTGAAGTGTTACAACCTTGTATTGAAGGACAACTTCTCACAACTAAGAACTTTCATCAATTTGACAATCTTGACTACTTGTGCTTCTAGGGGTTTAACTGTAATCGTTAAAATAGAGCCGGCTTGGTCAGTGTGTACACAAAAGTGAAAAACTATGGGGTTGTATGCGCACGCTATTGTGTTTGGCTTGGTTTGTTGTTAGTGGGTTAACGCATACAGTGACATGTCTACTCTTAATGCATGGACAAACACCTGTGTCTGGGATGGCAAACACCTCACAGTCAGAATCTCCACAGGCTAAGCCCCTATATATTCAGGCTGTTTCTTTATCATCAGTGGTTGTAATGTAACCTTGGTTCCATACTAAACATCGCCTGGACAAGGTGGCATTGGCCATACTTTGATATCATACTGTATATGTCTTATGGGGAGATAGCATAGCCCAGTGGTTAAAGCTCTTACTTGACACACTGGACCCCCTGAATTTATTCCCAACAAGGAGTACAATATGTGAAGCCATTTCTGGTGTATCCTGACATGATATTGCTGGAATAGTGCTTAAAGCAGCGTACTCACTCACTCACTCTCACTCACTCACTCACTTTCCTTGTCCTTGTTTGTTTTCGCTTTGTAGCTTCATATGTTTAAGCATTTGAGTTCAACTTACTTGTTGTGGTATGTAAATACACAGTGCACACTGGCTTGCGAAAAAGCAATGATTCTGGGTTCAAATCCTGGTTTTCCTAGATTGAGTCTCCAGGTGTGTCATCACCATACCTGTGCTGTTTGCTTTCCCCAAAGAAGCAGGTGTGAAAGAATTATATTTTAGCTTTCCTCCCCCCACCAAACTGGCTCGTAGTGATCTATCTGAATTACAGAGGAGTAATAAGGCCAGAAGCTGATATTACCACCCATGCTGATTATGGTCTGATAAGTCATGTCTTGATGTTCCTTATTCCCCTCAGACTGCATGTATCTATGAAGGGAAGGACATTGTCAGGGATTCCGGCTGGTGGTAACTGATTATTATTAGAATCTATATCAATCATGTCTGATATCTGTCAGTATCTTTGTAGAAAAGTATTTTACACATCCACTTGCCCCTTGGGCTGATATCACCAATTACGCTGGTTGAGTGGTTTCAAGGTTGTCATAAAAAACATACTTGTTATGATAGCTTTGAATTGTACTATACTTGGGGGCATGGGTGTTTTAGCTGCCAAAATTTGTTGTCCTTATGGCACACCAGAACTTATGATAGTGTGTTCAAATCCCAGTTTGTTTCAAGGTTTGTCTGCACCATGCAAGTGCTCAGGGTCTTCACTGAACTGTTAGAAGCAGATGTTACTTGGGGTTTCCTCCAGCGTGAAGCTGACACACTGTGATAGAACAAGAATACTCTTTAAGTATGTGTTGAACCAAACTCACTCACTCACTCACTCACTCACTTGTCCATATTGTATTTCCCAGCATCTGTAGAATGTTGAACAAAGGAAGCTTGTCTCTTGACAAAATTATGAGCAGTCACTTGTGATGTTGGTTGTACATTGTTTACCACCCAAGGCTAATGTTGAAAGATCTAGAATTTACGAGAGGCACATGCACACCTGCAATTTTCCCCCCAGGTGAAAAACAGTATAAATTGTTTGGCAGAGTGAAATGGCAGGATGCTGCATTTTTAAATGCATTTTAAGAAAGGTTTAATTCCTTTGAAATTACAATGCAAATTTGACCCGTGAACAAAGAGTTTCTGTAAACTTCTAAGAAATACTAATTTAGTTCCATTGAAAGATTGAGTTCAAGAAAATAGAATGATTTAAAAAACATTATTCAAGTTTTGTCATAAAAGGTTGAAATATAGTACTGCTGAAGATTACAGTGCTGTCATTCCCAGATCAATACGTCTTTGAAAGTCTGGTCATAAACATCAGATCTCTTCACACTGTTAATCGTGAAGAGTCAAAATAATGTGTTCATGAATTTGATCCAAGATTGTAAAATATTTTAGGTGTTCACCTGTTTCAGTAGCAGATGTGTTAGTTAAACACAAGTAGATCATAACAATATATTATCTAAAGAATATTAAATGCAAAAATCTGCAGAGGTACAATGATTTAACAAACTTAAGGTTGAAGAATTCACAAAGCAAATGCAATTCAGTTCCATTAACTGCAAAACACTGAGTAATGGTGTAAGAACTAGCATCAGAATCTGGTCCCTTTCAGAAACACAATTCTAGGTTTGAATCTCTGTAAACCTTGATTGGTTCCAGCTGTGTTATTACCATGGCTGCGTTTGTGGGTTTGACTCAGTTGTTCAATATCTGAAACCTTCATCTCAAACACTCACTCACTCACTCACTCACTCACTCACTCACTCACTCACTCACTCACTCACTCACTCACACACACACTCACTCACACACACACACACACACACACACACACACACACACACACACACACACACACACACACACACACACACACACACACACACACACACTACTTGGATTTGACTTATCTTACTCATCCTGAAGACCGTTTTGCCTACTGAACCAATGTTTCACCACCCATGCATCAACTATGAAAACAAAGTGTAGTAAGGACAAGTATTCTGACGTTGTGTTTGTTTTATTTCAGCTATCTTCACTGTGATGTGTTATAATGTGTTGTGTGACAAGTACTGTACCCGCCAACAGTATGGCTACTGCCCGTCCTGGGCCCTCAACTGGGAGTACCGAAAGAAGGGGATCATGGAAGAGATCCGAAGCTGCAACGCAGACATCATCAGCTTACAGGTAATCTGGTTATGTCCGACTTTGGGCCCACCTACAGACTCATTATCTGGGATTAATGCCTGCTACACTTCCAATTACCAAATCTGCAAGGGACCTCATATCATGTTATTGACTTGGTTATTGCAGATAGTACTCAACCATAATTCTTTACTGGATACAAAAGAGACTGTTTATTCCTCGTGAAAAAAATGTTTTCTGCCATTAGATGTCAACATTATTTTGAGTTGTGGCGTAAGTGTATGTAGTTGTGATATGCCCTAGGTGCTTGACTGACATGAACAAGAGACTTGATGCATATGGGACACTCTTGGGCTGACAGAATGTTTGGGTTCTTTCTGCCTTAATGTCTTTCATGGGATTCAACCAGACATGGTGTCACATTCTACTGGAAAAAATCCATTGTATTGTGAAAGTTTTTGGGATGAGCATTGGTTGATTGCCAGTGTTTCAGTGTAAGACAGCACACTGTTTTACCTGTAGATACTGTATGAGCTTTCTGTGTGGTATCTGAGGAGGGCTTGCTGTGTTACTGGTGCCACATAGTAATCTATCTAAACACTGCTGACACACCTGCAATTAAAGAAGGGTTCCCTTACATTCCAGGGCCCCGTTCCTCAAAGCGATTGTAGCGCTACGACAGTCGTAAGTCTATGTTAAATTATGGGAGTTACGATCATCTTAGAGCTACGACTGTCGTAAGTCTATGTTAAATTATGGGAGTTACGATCATCTTAGAGCTACGACTGTCGTAAGTCTATGTTAAGGTATGGGAGTTACGATCATCTTAGCTCTACGATCGCTTTGTGGAACGGGGCCCTGGCCTATATTTCTGATTGTACCTTATCCTTTTGGAGGAATGAGTGGTCTCAGATACAACAGTTAACATTCTTTGAGTGGCATTTTAGATGTTGGGAATACAATATAGACAAACTTTATGGATAACAACTTCTTTATTGTGTGAGTGTGACATCTTGATACAGATTCTTGTACCGTTGTCAAGCAGGAATGTCGTACAGTTAACTTTGCAGAGTATCATCCCTTTTCATCCAAGGATCAGCTGAATGAAATTTTCGATTCTGTGCATGCATTTGTTGTTTGTTTCACCAAAGCGTCACTCCAGGGTCCTGTTCCTCAAAGCGATCGTAGCGCTATGTCAGTCGTAAGTCTGTTAAAGTATGGGAGTTACGATCACCCTAGCTCTACAATCGCTTTCAGGAACGAGGCCCAGGCTTCCTAACGAAGCTGAAGTGCCCAGAAACAAATGGCGATCCTGTTCAATCTGAATTGGTCTCAACTCATGTACCTGTCATACACTATGACAATAGTGTTGACCACGGAGAAGTGGGCGGTGGGGTAGCCTAGTGGTTAACGTGCTCGCTCATCACGCCGAAGATCTGGGTTCGATTCCCAACATGGCTACAGTGTGTGAAGCCTATTTTGGTGTCCCCCACCATGATATTGCTGGAATATTGCTAAAAAACTAAAAACTAAACTCACTCACTACGGAGAAGCACCTCAGTGTCATCATTGCTTGACAGAACAATGAACAGAACAGTCAGAACACATTGTAGCTGGAAGAACTCTGCAGTGAAGGACTGGTTGTGAATCTTTTTCTACTGCATTCCCCTGAGGGTTCTTTATGTTACAATGTTATTTGTCTCATGATATCACATGAAGATATCCTGTCTGCAACTCTTGTTTTTTCTGTATTAACTTATCCCGTTTTTTACTGATATTACATTTGCCAGCCTTCAAAATATATCACAGCCTTTTTGCACAATCTGAGGTTAGTTCTCCTTCATCTGTCAAAGTGACAATTCTCACTCTTTTCTCAAGCGAAATCAACAGAATGTTTTTTCACACTTTTGATATTTGGAAGTTGGGTTTTGTTTTTTTACAGTGTTTGAAACTGGAAGTTTTTGCCAGTAATCAATAAGTGCCTGTATTCATTACTTCAAATCAACACCCAGGGCAATACATTGTCTTTCACCTAAAACTGACCTACATATCTAGCTAGAGGGTGAGCAGTGACAACTTGCCCCTGGTTCTAGAGATGGGGAACATCATGAAGTGCTACAGCTGCACTGGGGCTGATCGATCAGGAACTGACCTTTCATTGATAGGACCCTATGATGCTCCTAGCTAGATAGATTTAGACAGGGGAGGTGAAGGGTCAGGCCATGACCACAAGTTAACATTGGGATGTTTTAATATCCAACATAGTTTGTGGTGTGCCTTGTTTTACTTATTAACAGTATCATTAGGTTTCAGCTGTTCCAGTGAAAATTATAAGGGACGTTCTGTGACTTGCAGGCAAAACAGGTACTGAGCTATGTGCAGTCAAAATGGGGACACTGCTGTAACACTGCTCTAAATTGGGACATTGAGTAACTTGCTGAAAAATAGGGACACAGCTGTTACATGGTGTTGAAATAGGGACACAGCTGTTACATGGTGTTGAAATAGGGACACAGCTCTTACATGGTGTTGAAATAGGGACACTGCTGTTACATGGTGTTAAAATAGGGACACTGCTGTTACATGGTGTTGAACTAGGGACACAGCTCTTACATGGTGTTGAAATAGGGACACAGCTGTTACATGGTGTTGAAATAGGGACCCAGCTCTAACATGGTGTTGAAATAGGGACACTGCTGTTACATGGTGTTGAAATAGGGACACAGCTCTAACATGGTGTTGAAATAGGGACACTGCTGTTACATGGTGTTGAACTAGGGACACAGCTCTTACATGGTGTTGAAATAGGGACACAGCTGTTACATGGTGTTGAAATAGGGACACAGCTCTAACATGGTGTTGAAATAGGGACACAGCTCTTACATGGTGTTGAATTAGGGACACTGATGTTACATGGTGTTGAAATAGGGACACAGCTCTTACATGGTGTTGAAATAGGGACACAGCTCTAACATGGTGTTGAAATAGGGACACAGCTGTTACATGGTGTTGAACTAGGAACACAGCTCTTACATGGTGTTGAAATAGGGACACTGCTGTTACATGGTGTTGAAATAGGGACACAGCTCTAACATGGTGTTGAAATAGGGACACAGCTCTTACATGGTGTTGAAATAGGGACATCCAGTGGAACTACCTGGAACATTTGGAAGTCAAGTCTGTAGGGTTGTCAGGTTTAATTACAATGTCGTGACACAAACAAAGTGAAATCTGTCAGTGTTATTGCTACGGAAACACCCAACACCTTCCTCTAGCTGCCTCTTTAATTAACCTGCTGAAAAACATATCTGGCACCTTTTGTCATATGAAAACAGCTGAGCCCCAACTAATTGACATGTTTGCTGTGTGATAACACTGATCCCTTATGCAGTTCATTAACACTCAGCTATTTTGAGATGATGTTGATTATCATTGATCAGACTCAATGAGTTGATCACCAAGGGAGTAGTTAGGTACTGATATTAACTTTGCAGGTAATAATTGGTTTTGAAACTGCTTTTCCCTGTTTCAAGGTTGTAGATAGCAGTACACATGTTTTACAATATTCCCTCTCCTTTGGGGGATACAGTTGAAGTCATTAACTAACAGTAATTAAAAACACACCCGTTTAATCCTTTATTTGCATCAATTTCTGAAAGCATGTGTTAATATATATACAGCAAAACCCCTTTTTCTTTGACATTTTCCATTTAGGCTGATATTTCATGCCCCAGTGCTTTTCATGTGAACACATTTACTTGCGTTGACTATTTGAATTGTGTACAAGCAGCCAGTGTTGATAAGCCAGCACCCCTGCTGAGATACAGGTTGGAACTGGTCACCAGAGATACAAAGGTACATGTCTAATGACTGGTTCAGGCTTGTCTGTTTAGTTGATTGTATGTCATCTTAACCCGATAGTGTGGATTGATCCTCTCAGTATCAATCACTGCCCTACATGGATCCAGACTTGTTAATGTACAGGCCTTGATCACAGCTGGAATATTGCTGAGTGGAGTAGTGTTAAATATATGGTAAAAGCCGGTGTCATGTGAAAAGTCTGTAAGTCCCGTAAAATCAGCTAGTTATATTCCTTTCACTTAAAGCTGAAAAGAGGAGAAAGTCAGAAATCTCTGGTTTTTCTATGCTTAAAATAAATTCCCTGAGTTATCAAGGATTTATGTAGATTATTCAGATCAGCTTTCTCTGACTTGAGGGTATCTCAAATGTGTAGTTCTTACAATTTCAGGGACACGAGGTCTAGTCTTGGGGTTAAAGAGTTCGCTCATCATGCCAAACACCTGGGTTTGATTCCAGACATGGGTACAATGTGTGAAGCCCATTTCAAGTGCACCCCCTTCCTCTGTGATATTACTGGAATATTGCTAAGAGCTGTTAAACCATATTTGATCACTGTTCCAAAAGACGAGACCAGTTGTCCCAAAGTTTTATATCAGATGTGAATGAGTGAACACCATGTTTATGATTGTCCTGGGTGGAAGCAATTATGTTGTCCGGTCAGGAAGATAGTATGACATCTCCCATAGCGACAGAGGAGAGATATGTGTATATGCTGGATCTAGCGGTAAATATGTGTATCATTCTGTACCTGTCAGTGAGCTAACACCTGCATACCTGCAATGCCTGAAATGGTTAAAGTGTGTAATTAATCATGATCTGATTGGGAATATTTCCCCCGTGAGTCATCCACTGGGCACCTGGCGATCCTAATGTTAACACAAGAACCAAATAATATATCAATTATAATAAGAATCTTGTATGTTTAGTCAACACTGATTTTGTTTTTGTAAATTCATGACTATTGTGATACTCTTAAGTCAGTATTTGTTAACTTGCATTGTAAGGTAGCAGATGTTATGAAATTTTTGGCTGGCTTCAATGCACAGTACTGTTTATGGAAATTAATGGCTGTGACACTGTGCTTAGTCTGTTTTCATGGGAAGAACATGGGAACAAAATATTTACTGAAAATATTCAATTCACCAAATGATAGTAAACAGAGCTCCTCATTGCCATAACACAGACCAATAGTCATTGCTAAATTGTCATCGACATCAGTAGACATGTAACTGTTTTGTAAATTCGCAATTGTCACAGTTTAAGGATGCCAAGCAATCTCCTTCAAGGAGAGGATTTTGCTGAGTCCTGAATGGTTGGTAATCCAGTCAAGGGTAAATACAGGCCTACAACCCCCTCAAGCAAAATCATTGATATCTTTATCAAGTGGAGTGAAAATAAATGGCGTAATTGATACTAACGTTGTTGGTACTTTGCATGGGAGAAGGGCCTGAGGACAAGTTGATGTTCTTTACAAGACAGGCAACATCTAAGATATTTGTTTTGTTTGTGTATGCTTGGGTGTTGTTGATTAATGGAAATAGAGATCATGGATTGAAACAGGTTACCAAGGTATGCGAGGGGGACGAGGTAGGGAAATCAATTGGTGGTGTGTTTGTTTCAGACCAACTGGAATATTAGGTACACTATAGTGTACAGAAACAAACAAGTCACAAGCATTTTTTAATTCTAACACATGCGTTCATAATCCTTGTTTTGTACTTCTTGAAGAAGGATATATGGAGAGGAGGATAGAAAATCAATATGGAAGAGGCACACCCGCTGAACATGTGTTAAGTGATATCGTGCTTGTCAGGATTAGACACCATCTTGGATGATGAGGACATTGAAAATGAGCATCATTTGCAAAAATAAAATGAGTTGGACATCTAGGTCAATCCCACCGTTGTGACCTGTCAGCGCATTGAAAACTGGATTCAGTCACTAAAGGGGCTTGAAATTCTCTTTCCAGTAATGGCAGACATGAAAACAAGGACTCTGTTTTTGATTAATTGAAAGACACAACATGTGTGCAATATTTGAATTAGATCATCCATCATCATGTGGCTATCATTTCACAACTTTCTGCAAATTTGTTGTTTTCATTTCAAGCTACTTAAGTGATTACCACTGGCCTGAGATTGCTGGCTGTTAGAGAAACAGTGACAAGCACAAGGATATGACATTAAATATATTTCACCTCAGTGGTCTGAAGAAACTAAGCACAGGCCACTTAGTAGCCTCGAGTCAAATGTGCTGTAATGCATACCTCTTATATGTTGATCAAGATGCATACATCATCCCTTGTGGAAAACTATATCCTTCTCATAAGTATTAAAAAAAAAACCACCTGAATTTTTTTACTACAGTTAATCTGTCATGGTCATGAAAATTATTCTGACCTTTAACGTCCTTTAACTGATGGATGACAAGCACTGTGACATTAGAAAGCAAACCTGTAATAATAACTTTTCCTTGACTGAGTCTGACCCAGTTTTGACCAGTTCATCTGTTAGGTGTTCTTGTAAGGTTACCTCACTACATCTCTTCATTTATAACTACCATACATTCCAAGGGCCATGACATGTATGACCTTCAAGGAATGTCTTGGAGTCAGGTTGCCTGTATTGGATGTTTCATGTGTCAGGGGTGTCCCATAATCAGTTGTCATGAAGCCCAACATGACTTGTGTCAACCAGTAGGCAGGCAGTGGTTCTTAAGGGAGGTTGACAAGTACTGTCCAATCACGGTGTCTTGTAGTCCAACATGACTTGTGTCAACCAGCAGGCAGGCAGTGGTTCTTAAGGGAGGTTGACAAGTACTGTCCAATCACGGTGTCTTGTAGTCCAACATGACTTGTGTCAACCAGCAGGCAGGCAGTGGTTCTTAAGGGAAGTTGACAAGTACTGTCCAATCACGGTGTCTTGTAGTCCAACATGACTTGTGTCAACCAGCAGGCAGGCAGTGGTTCTTAAGGGAGGTTGACAAGTATTGTCCAATCACGGTGTCTTGTAGTCCAACATGACTTGTGTCAACCAGCAGGCAGGCAGTGGTTCTTAAGGAAGGTTGACAAGTATTGTCCAATCACTGTGTCTTGCAGTCCAACATGACTTGTGTCAACCAGCAGGCAGGCAGTGGTACTTAAGGGAGGTTGACAAGTATTGTCCAATCATGGTGTCTTGTAGTCCAACATGACTTGTGTCAACCAGTAGGCAGGCAGTGGTTCTTAAGGGAGGTTGACAAGTACTGTCCAATCACGGTGTCTTGTAGTCCAACATGACTTGTGTCAACCAGCAGGCAGGCAGTGGTTCTTAAGGGAGGTTGACAAGTACTGTCCAATCACGGTGTCTTGTAGTCCAACATGACTTGTGTCAACCAGCAGGCAGGCAGTGGTTCTTAAGGGAGGTTGACAAGTATTGTCCAATCACGGTGTCTTGTAGTCCAACATGACTTGTGTCAACCAGCAGGCAGGCAGTGGTTCTTAAGGGAGGTTGACAAGTACTGTCCAATCACGGTGTCTTGTAGTCCAACATGACTTGTGTCAACCAGCAGGCAGGCAGTGGTTCTTAAGGGAGGTTGACAAGTATTGTCCAATCACGGTGTCTTGTAGTCCAACATGACTTGTGTCAACCAGCAGGCAGGCAGTGGTTCTTAAGGAAGGTTGACAAGTATTGTCCAATCACTGTGTCTTGCAGTCCAACATGACTTGTGTCAACCAGCAGGCAGGCAGTGGTACTTAAGGGAGGTTGACAAGTATTGTCCAATCATGGTGTCTTGCAGTCCAATATTACTTGTCTACCAGCAGGCAGGCAGTGGTACCTAAGGGAGGTCGACAAGTATTGTCCAATCACAGTGTCTTGTAGTCCAACATGACTTGTGTCAACCAGCAGGCACTAGTACTTTAGTGAGATCAACCAGCAGGTCATCAAATATTATCCAAACAGTCAAGTAGTGCTGCTATAGATATAGATCATACAAATTGATCATTGATAAATTAATATCAATCGATTTTCAATAAATATCGGAGAAGTAACTTGACTAAAACAAATTCACATCAGTGGTGAGTGGTTACATATTAAGGCTTGGCTTACCAGCAAAATGTCACCCTGTACATACTTATGAGCAGTCAATGAATAAAGATCTAACTTCTGAATAAATTTTACAATTATTTCATTCCAGTTGTTCATTTGCGATATTCGATTACATAATTTTCTTATCGATAATCATTATTAATGATTCCCATAAACTGTATCTTTTTAGCCAGCCCTAATATCGAGTGAGTTTCTTATTTTAGTCAGGTCAGTTTCAGTAACAGACTGATCAGTGATGTCTTAGTGTTATTTATTAACTCAAAGAACTTCACAACGGTCCATGTACCAGCTTGTTCTCTCCTATTACAAAATACTATGCCCTGAAATATGAAGAACTTACCTAGAAAAATTCTTTTTGTTTCTGAAATCGTGATTAATGTTTGTGGAGTTACACTAAGACCAGTATAACCCACAACATGCTGACCATCCTGACTACCACTGCTATAAGGGTCAAAGAAGGAGGTGGTTCAGTGGTTATGTGTGTGAAGGTCCTGGTGTTGGAGTATGGTGATGTGGTGTGTCATGCTAATCCCACTTGACAAAAATGCTGCCAACACCTGATGTACTGAATATTTCAATAAAGGGTAAAGAGGATGTGTTTTCTGTAAAAGGGGGATCCAGTGAGACTTGAATGATGGACTTTGTGTGTTGACATACGCTGCAGCATGATAACTGATACCTTGTGTCACACAGCAGACAACCATGTGATTATATTAAAGACGTTTTTTTAGAAGAATGCTGACTATTGCAAAATTGTATTTTCAAATTAGTTTTTTTTCCACCTTGATTATTGTGATATATTTCAACTCTCTTTCCGGATCCAGAAACCAAATGTCTGGATGAATGAAGCATTCAGTGTAGTATGTATTTCGTTTCCTGTAGTTATCAGGTAGGCAAGGGTTCCAGATATCTGGAGCCTGGATAAACACTGTAGTCTGATTATGTTGTTTGTGTTACAGGAGGTTGAGACTGACCAGTTCTACAGCATGTTCCTCCCAGAGCTGAAACAAGATGGCTACGATGGTATTTTCTCCCCCCAAGTCTCGAGCAAGAACAATGACAGAACAAGAGAGGAAACATGTGGATGGCTGTGCCATCTTCTTCAGAACATCAAAGTAAGTAAACAGCATTATTACCTACGAGGGCAAAAATATCGGGTTCATATTTTTTCATACGATGCCCTAGGGCAAAATATTACTTTGTCATGGAGACGTGACGTCAAGAACAATGCTATGACGTCATGTTTCTTCTGTGACGTTGCGTTCTACATGCGGCGACGGCGGGGTAGCCAACCTATGTTAAAAAGCAGATTTGGGTTTATTTTTATTTATTGATGATTTCGGTAATAAACAATAATATATTCGTGCCCATATACAGTCAGTCCCTTCTGGGCAACAAGCTGATTGGGGTTATTATCTCTATTGCGAATATATTGACGCTTAAAGGCTTGATAATTATGTAAATAAATGTAATTTTTATGAATAAAACTACAGTTATTACCCCCACTTCATTATTTTCATGTGAAGCCCATTTCTGGTGTCCCTGCCATGATATTGCAGGAATATTGCTAAAAGCAGCGTAAAAATAAACCCACTGACTCATTATTTCCGAACTCCTAGACTATAGCTGGAACATTGCAGGTTGTTTCAGAGGCCATTCACTTACCCGTCCTCCCCTGTTACACTGAGCCCATACAACTCCATGCAACCACTCACTCCACTACATACATACCCTCTACTAATTGAATTAGTGCCATGATAGATTTGACCCCTGTTCATTAACAATGTGCATTATGTCACGTGAGCATTAGTCGGATTTCTATGATGTACCGCTCTGTGTCATACTCCATGACCATAGGATGTTTATTTATGTCATTTTCAATTAAGCAAGTCAGATAGTGAGTCTGTTATTTGTTATCACTAGACCTGAGGGCATTGCTGGTCTCCTGGTCACTGTACTGTTGCTTCACTTCGTGACTGGGGAGGTGGGGTAGCCTAGTGGTTAAGCGTTCACTTGTCATGCCTAAGACCCAGTTTTGATTCCCCGCATGGGTACAATGTGTGAAGCCCATTTCTGGTGTCCCCTGCCGTGATATTGCTGGAATATTGCTGAAACCTCCATGAACTTAGTTCAAAGATGTTAAATATTGTTCAGCATCAGTATTAGTTTGAACAGTATCTTGCAGTTGTCTGGCTATGACAAATCTATCAGTAACTAACTGACGGAACACTGGCTTTTGCCATTAGTGCCATGTGATGGTATTGACTCAACCTGTCGCACGGTTAGTCGGTAATATATATAGATATGTTAAATATTACTAAACTTGTTCGGTATCATATGTTAACTGGAATAACATCTTGTAGTTGACTTTCTATGACAAGTTACCCTGCAGTTCCCCGATCTGACTCACCCTGACTTGCCTCATTCACCCTGTGTCCCACTATGGAGGTGAACCCCCCCCTATGGGCTGATTCCACTGGTGTCAGTAGAATTAATGACTATTTCACAGTCACATGTTCCAAGGATGCCCCAGTCATGAGTCCAAATTGCCCAAATTAGGTGGTTGTGTCCAAGTGTGGGATCTGGGTCAGCCCTGTGACGTGATGCTCCACTGCCCTATTGAATACTTACTATTCTTGAAAAACATATTTGGTCATAGGTCCAACCTGTGTCATGATTGGCTGAGATTGGTCACAGTCACTGCCTCATTACACAGCTTGTGCTTCATTTGTCACATGCTTCATAAACTGGCATAAACACTCTGATTTCCAAAGACTTGCCAGTATGTAGGTCATCGCTCAGTTACCCTCTGCTTCTAGGTTAAACTGTCTGGAAATGACAGCAATCAAATGTAATTTTTATGTGCATTTAACGAGTGACTGCTTCCAGTTTGCTGAGGTCAGAGGCCGTCATGTTTATGTCCCAGAAAATAGCTTTTCTGTAGTAAACATGCATGCATCATTTGATTTTAAATAAACTGGTAATAGTTGAAGTCTTTGGTAGACATTTATACGATGAAGATCCATGAAGAGATGATTATAAGCATCTTTTGAAATAAACGTCATGCCTCTATGCTTATAGTTTGCAAATGTTTGCTTTTTCGGATGCAGGAATGACTCAGATATGAACTATTTGAACAAGAAATTGAGGGATCGGAAATACAAATTACGTGTGTGTACTGACTCTTTCCAAGGACTGTAGTTTACCAAAATCTTGTTATTCAGGCTTCGAGTTCAAATGAGAACTAGTTAAATTTAAGAAATTTTACTAGCATGAAGAAGGACAGGAGTACATGTATTATGGGAACAACTTCTGTATCATACAAACACGTTTCAGGGTAACTATTTGCCCTTTCAAGTGGGTTCACCCAGTAAAGTGGCAAGAAGAAGCCCTGAAACATTGGATGTGCATGATGAAGAAGTTGTTATCCATAATAATAGTCCTTTCCCTCGTTTACATCCAACTTCTTAATTCGTGTGAATGTAAGTAAATATGAAAGCAGATTAAAAAATGTTTGTACATGTGTTCACTTCACCTTAATTTAAGTTGAAGGTACTGAGTATGAATATGACTGATTTTTCCAATGTGACTGATTTGCTTCCAGTTGAAATGTTTTGTTTTGTCCTTGTCAGATTTTCTTTGGTGAAGGAGCAGCTGATTGAGTTCAACCAGCTGGCGATGGCCAATGCCGAGGGCCATGATGACATGCTCAACAGAGTCATGACCAAGGACAATATTGGTTTGGCGGCACTTCTGGAAACCAAGAAGGATGTCTTTGATCATAGTGGTGAGTAGTTGTGGACATTCACTGTTTGAACTCAAAGCCTACAGTGGCTGGTTGTAATTGAAGTTCCTTCTAGAAATCTTTTCTTTCTTTTATGTTTGTTTTTCTCTTTATACCAATATATTTTTGTGTTTTATGGTTTATGTTTCTGAGCCATTGTTACAGATAAGACCAGACACTGCCTGGCCAAAGTAAGAAATAGATATACAGACAATTGTAAAACCAAAAAACACAAGCATGGTTATTAAATGAGTTTCAGAATTATTGTTAGGGACATACCACGGACAGCAAGATTGATTAGAGGTGTGGATATGATGGACTGTGACATAAACATTCATTCACACTCACATCCACTCACTTTATGTACTCAACCACAGTTGTTTTTTTGTCTAAAACTGGCTTTATTGTAATACACTTGACATCTTTACACAAAGCTGTGTTGGTGGGGGAAGTTTATGTATGTGAGGTGTGAGGTTTCATAGTAGTTTGGCTGTTCATTTTATAGAGGTTTTGACAGTGCTCAGATGACTTTTGGCAAACTCTTTGTTCCGCCTGACTAGGTGAGCAACAGATATCAAGGTGACCGTAATTCCCAAACTCTAACATTGGCTCATGAACGATGTAGATCCCTTTGTGGAAAGGGACCTGGGTAATATTCTCAACTTTAGCAAAGTTCACTCACTCACTCACTTAGGTTGGATTGATGTAAATCACGCGTAGACAGATACAGATCAACTTCCTTCCATGCCGAAACCCCACAGTGTTGTACATGAGAATCTCATTCCTGATATGTCTACTCAATCTTGAGACATGAAACAAAACTCAACTCTTAATACATCATGTGAGATTGTTTAAAAGCCATCGGATCCTAACACACTGTCTGCCATTCATATGTGCAGTCCACTTAACTTGTGAAAACAAAGTCATGTACACATCCTTGGGGAAATGAGGTGAGCCATGTGGTAGGACTTGGTACAAGTGCACTTCAATGCAGGACCCCAGTGCTGACACCAGATCATACTGCTTGTCTAACATAGAAGGCGGAGGGGGTAGCCCAGCGGTTGAAATGTTCTCTACACCGAAAACCCATGTTCGATTCCCAACATGGTACAGTGTGTGAAGCCCATTTCTGGTGTCTCCAGGGGCGGTGGGGTAGCTTAGTGGTAAAGCTTCTCACTCACTCTGTTGTCCCCTGCCATGATATTGCTGGAGTATATTGCTAAAAGCAGTGTAACCTTCACTCACTCACTCGCTCACTTTGGTTTCCCCTGCCATGATATTTATGGAATATTGCTAAAAACTATAAAAAAAACCTCGCTCACTACTGACATGCTGTGGATGTACAGACAACAGACATCTAGGGGAATCTAATTTGGGTCATCAGTTAGCATACATATTTCTGAAATAAGCGTACCAGGGTGTTCCTTTCATAGCCTTATGAGTGAGTGACTAAGTCTAGTTTTACGCCGCTTTTAGCAATATTCCAGCAATATCACGACGGGGGGACCCCACATCATAGCCTTAATGTTTTAAATACTACAAGAAAAGAAAACCCTCCTTTATTTCAAGCATATACCTCATACAAGAAAAAACAATTGGTATGGCTTTACAAAGAACATTCATTACAGGAGACAGATGACATGTTTTTATGAACACATGGCTTGCATTTAGTTCATTCTTTACATGAAACCCATTAAGGGTGATAGATGACTGTATATGCTGCACACATTAACTGAAACAAAGATGTATGTCTTACATTAGTTCAGGCATCACTATAAACATGCATTAGACACAGAAGGTATCTTCTAAAATAGGGATATTAGGGTTTTTTTCACTTTTTTAGAAACAGTTCAAATATATCTGAAGGGTCAAGAAAGATTAGTGATATTTATCTTATACACTTTGATCATACAGTTGTAATATAGCTGAGTCAGTCAGACATTATCATATACACATATCCATCCCACCTGTCATGACATAAGCAACAACATGACCGGTGCTCTTATAGGCATGTCGGTATGTCAGTCCTTGTCTGCATTAGTGGGTGTCAGAACAAGTCTGGACTTGCTTATCTCCCTTAGTTACACCACCCACTAAGATAGATGGGTCTTTTTCGACAGCTGTCACTTGAGATGATGAAATGAAAACTCTTGGTGCATGGTCGTGTCCAATTTCTGTGATGTTAGCTTGACTAGCATGAACCTGCATGATCAGGCATTTCCTGGTGTACCCAGGTCAGCTAAATGTCATTGTCATTATCACCAGCTTGTTTTTCTTGTTTCGGTGAATCTATCATGTACAGTTAGTTTTATCTTCATAGAGTAACATCAAGACTCAAGTACATCAGACATAATATGTATAGAATGCATGAAAAGAAAATGTATTGTCATGAAAACATGAAAAACCATTTACAGAACATCATTATAATAATTTCATTGCAGCTGAAATCAAACTTGACAACTTGTATGTATTTAAGTCTGGACCAGACAATCCAGTGATTGATATTGTGAGCACCGACCCATGCCATAAGGTTATGTTACCACCCAGTGATGCCAGTCTGATTCATTAGGCTGCCTCTTACAACCAGTACAGTTTAATAAGTGACCTATTAGAAGATAAACATCATGTTTTGGCCAATTTCCGGGTGTTATTGAGTAGCACGGGAATTCATTTGGACGGGTACAGCAGTGAAATGTCATCAGCCGGCTGTTTCGGCTGTCTCCCATGGTAGCATCTGGAACTGCTTATTTGTGACGTCATTTGGACTGTGCGTCACAATATGATTTTAATGACGTCATCACAGCTGACGACGTAACAATACAATGGTGTGAGCTATGTTTGTATGTATTAATACGCAGAGAATTTCCGAGAATCGAATACCATTTGATCACGTTTCTCAACCAATCAGATTAAAGAACACAGTGACTTTTGGTTTACAATTTTTATCATCTTTTGTTCCACATAATTTTATCTAGTGACATTGGATAGTTATCTTTTTTATGAACTTTGTCAGGTAACTTGGTGAGAAAAATAGGAACATTTCCTCCTTTTTATATTAAGAGAACAGATATTACCATCTCTTCATGTGTCAAGAGAACATTATACCGGTACATTATAATGTGTTCATTAACAAGAGAACATATATAATTATCTCTTTATTATCAAGAAAACTTGATGTGTGGTATATTATATAATGTGTTCATTATTAAGAGAACATATATAATTATCTCTTTATTATCAAGAAAACTTTATATGTGATCAGAATATACGAATACACTATCAACAGTGGAGGTACAAAGAGTTCAATTTCATTTGCCCAGGCATGAAAACAGTGATTTATACATTTGGCAATAACGTGTTGTCTGTTTGGCTGTAGAACTCGTGATTTCTCCAGACGTGAGTCATCACTGTGTCTGTATTGACTGGTTCCACAGGCTCGTGTCACTGGATCCACGCTGACTCGCCGCCTTCTAAGCCAGACCCTCATATGACCATTAACAGCCATCTTGCATAAAGAACCTACAACTTTCTATTACACCAGTTGACCTAGGTGCTGGTGGTGTTAGGATTGTCCTGATTTCATTCTGTAGGGATTATTGGTGGGTCTCTGACCCTTCCATGGTCAGTCAGTCCAGAGTGGACATTGACCGGACTGGAAACAGGCCAGGCCAGGATGGACAGCATGTGTGAAGTATTGATCTCGACACAGCCAAGCAGGAAGGCTGCCCACCTCACTTCTCACAACACCAATGTGTCCATTCCTCCTACAACTATTTCCTAACAGTAGCAATTTCAATGTAAATGTCTTCCAAGATTTTCCTTGTCTGATACAAAAACAGGCTTTCTTGTCCAATCAAAGAACTCCTCAAGGCAATGGAGAGTCTAAGAATACCTTTGTATGATCTTGTGTACTGTTCTGCTGCTCTGTTGTAGTGAAAAGGGAAATTGTTGAATATCATTTGATTTATTCGAGCCTGATCTAAAAACCCATTGTTGACTGAACTTATGGTGATGCACTTTTGTCTTGTTAACATGTAATCTGATCATCTAAAATGTTTTCGATGATTATGGCTTAGAATTTCTCCATTCAATCAAGTCACCACGACAGCCTATAATTATAGACATCAAGTAAATTACTTTTTAAAAACCCTCGTATATCGAGTGTGTAATGTGCTTCAATGTGCTGTTAATGTTTGTTGTTTGTGTAACACAATATCATGAAATATTGGCTTCAGAGTATCCGGTTCATACAACTCAGGGCTCCCTTAGTCATCTATCAAATGATGTAAAAACAAATACATGTTTTGTTTTATTCCATATTCTGTTCTCTGAAACACCAACATGTTTTAAATAGGACGCAGAAGGTTGTTTACAATCCAACAGTGCAGATTGATGTGTGACTTACTGAAAACATCCTCCATTCTCGTTTGATGATTAGCCATTCAATTGAAGTCTGGCCTCCCAGCCTCCGCCCTTACTGTTTTTGCAGCTAACCCAGATAAGTCTCCTGCTGACAGTGACATGATAATACATTAGCAACAACATGATGTCATTTCACTCCAACCTTCCCACAACAGGCTCTGATGATGACGTCAGACATTGTCACAAACAGGGTGATGAATGTCCTTGACTATATAAGTACATTACAAATGATGTTTTCTAAAAACTTGTATTTGTACAAAGTTCTAAGAATTTTGCTAATCTCTAGATGTTATGATATTTCAGTTCATGGGAGTTGTGTGATCGGTGTTTGTTCGAGATGGGTTTATTGGGATGAGGCTCTTTGTGTGTAACAGTAATTAGTCGTGAGAGGGTGTAAGTGCACATTTCCTGGAGGGATTTCAAACACTGACTCACGTGTTCCCAGATATGTCAACTATGTTCCCCAGCTCAGGCTACTCTTCTCCCACTTCAGACCCAGTCATTAAATGTTTTTGAAGCGTGTTTGCTTGATTTTTACATGGACTACGTTTGCCTTGAGCAGACCGGACTGAGAAGTTCAGAGATGCTCTTCCTGGTGTACCAGCAGTGCCACCAGCTTTTCACTGTTACCAGTCTTTTCATGTACTTTTAAAACATGTCATTAATTGCATGTTCCTGTGGGCAATTTTTCGGCTCATTCTATTGCCCTTCATGCCTTGCCCTAAACCAGCCCCAGGGCTGGAACTTGCAGGTGCGCACCGGTACTTAGGTTTGCACTTTAGACAAGACGATTGGTATTCCGTAACTGTTTCTTCACTGAGTTGTCAGATATACATTCTTCTTTTGCCTCAAGCAGAATTAGAATGAGATAAAAAATGTTACACACTCCTTGTTCGGATAAAAAAAATTCATGAAATATTGATGTGTACTATGTATGTACTGGTATATGTATATAGTACCTAAGCCAAAATTTTGAAAGCCTGTCAAATACTATTGAGGTTTTCTTTCCTTTCCTTGACGTCATTGGTGTTGATTTGGTTTATACAGATATTAATCAAAGTCCCTATAACAGTCAGATCCTCCCACTTATCTTTTAATATAGGATTATCATTGTTATATACGTCAAACCATGTACTTCCATGTGTCTGTGATGGCTCCATCAACACCCACTCTACACACTCTACGACATGTACCCTACTTAATTTATTTTTTATTTTTATTTTTTTTATTTTTTGCTTTTGTAAATTTTCTTGGTGACATGATACTACAAGTAATATTACTAAGGAAATTGTTTTGTCCAGATCAACCCGGGTTGTGGGTTGGTTTGTATTTCTCATCAGACAGAAGTTCTGCTGTGAACACAACAATCCTGGCACATCAGCTATGACTGACTAGTGATGAAGGACTATCTTTGTGCTGATTTGTTAACTCGATTCAGATGAAACAATGTTACCAACATCTCTTGTAGAAACAGTATTCTGTTACAAGAATTGTTAGGTTATTGTTGTTGATTCATCCAACTCTGCCAGGTTGACATTAATGAATGGACTCATTACAAGACTAGTACTCATCATGATACCTGTTGTAAATGAGGGATGACAATAAGTGCCTCCACACAGACACCATGTTCAGGTTGCTGATGCAGTGTCTAAATCCATTCTTGGTGTCCCCGCTGAATTGAACCCATTTCGATGCATTGTAACTTCCCCAAGGGGGGCCTTTTGGTTACAATAGGTCTTTAGCAACTTTCATATGCTTATGGTAAGAGGCAACAAAATGGATTTTGATTTTGTTGACTCCAATTCTCAACATCATGCATTTTTACTGGCAATATGAATCACTGGATTATCTGGTCCAGACTTGATTGTTAATAGGTTACCTTAATACTTATGCATATTGATGATTGGTTTTAAGCAACACTCACCACTGACAAGTAGTTTTAGCCTGTGAGTAATTCATGGTTTGTCTGTTCCCAGGACCCTACCCACCAGAGCATCAGGTGAAGCAGCCCATCCTGGTGGCCACGGCCCACATACACTGGGACCCTGAGTTCAGTGACGTCAAGCTCATCCAGACCATGATGCTCATGTCCGAGCTCCGCCAGGTTATTGAGGATGCCCAACATCAATTCCGCCCGGGTTCATCGTCCTCATCCATCGACTGCAACAACATCCCTCTTATTCTCTGTGGTGATCTCAACTCACTACCAGACTCAGGTAAGTTCCACTCAATGCTACAAATGTTTTCTAATGTTGGTTGTCTCTTGAAGCCCATTTCTGGTAACGCCCACCCTGGATAGGTAGGAAGATGGCTGAATACAGTGTGTTGATCCTCACTGTCTCCCACCCTGGTGCACTTCAGGTTTTTAAGAACTTTTCAGATCCATTGACATCGTTTTATCATATTTCCTTTGTAGGACTTGATGATATATCGTAATATTGTGTAGGGATGTAAATGAAAAAAAATAATTGCTTGCTGAGCCAGTCAGTCAATTGAAATTTTTCTATGATTTGTTTTTCATGACTAATGTTCAGAAGCTGAGAGGGACAACGATGCCAAGGTTTACTCCAAGTATAAGTGGTTTGATGTGTGAAGCCCATTTCTGGTGTCCCCCGACGTGATATTGCGGGAATATTGCCAAAAGCGGCGTAAAACTAACCTCTCACTCACTCACTATAATTGGTTTGAGCTTCTTCTTTTTTCAAATTTGAATTTAAGGGAGGTCTTTGAAGTTTGGGCCTGTGGTACTTGAATTGGGGAGAAAAAGGACCACCATAGACTTGAATGTTTGACCCAGAACAAGGATGTATGTGTGTGGTGTTTGTTGCAGGTGTTGTGGAGTACTTGACCTCTGGGAAGGTGGCAGCTAACCATGAAGACTTTAAGGAAATAGGTTACGATTCCTGCCTTCAGAAAATCAACACAACCATTGAGAAAGAGTCCTTCAGTCACAACTTCCGACTCTCTCGTGCCTACATGGATGTCATGCCCTATACAAATTACACGTAAGACTTGATAAACTGTTTCTATTACCAGTGATTGGTTTCGTGCTGGGATGTAACTTGGCACTAGTTTCTCCAGTGTAAAAGGCATCCTGAAGTCTAGTAAACATTGTGGGTCTCCTTATATACGATCAACATTCAGACTAGGTAAGATTTCAGGGCGTCCCTTCTCGCAGTACATGTCCTGTGTTGTAATTCCCTCAGCATTGTTTTGGTATGTCTGTTTATGGTACAGGTGTATTATATAACAAAATAGGGTACAGTTTACAGCTACAGTTCCTGGTTTTCAACCCATCTGATTAATTACACAATCAAGGATTTTAGAAGTCGAAGGCAGCATAAATAGCTCTCAATACAACTTCTGTCGTAAAAATTAGAGTTGTGGTAGAACTTTGATAGGAATCTCAACGTCCCTCATACCTAAATTGTGCTGTGTTTAGTTAAGGACAGTTGAAATGGAGATCTAGGTGAGGTATGACTTCTTTGATGGGCACTTTAGGTGAGGTATATCTGCCGTATCACCATCCCTGCCACTGACTGATACTCCTGGAAGCATGCAGGGCTGTAGCACTTGTAGGTGCTGATACTGCTTCATGTGTACTGATACTCTGTAGGGCTTCTCGAACAAACACCCAGACCTGTTTCTTGTGTGGGTCGTTTGTCAGGTGACCGGAAATTACTGTTGGAACAAGCAGAATCCATACAATATCGGAACTATTGTTTGTGGGTTAAGGAGTCTTGTGAAATATGTCCTGATTTCTTCAATTTACTCAATGACTGTTCCTGGAAAAGTCACACTCTGTTCCAACAGCTGGGCTGAGTAGACCAGTGGGTTGCTCATCTCCCTGACGCCCCCGTTTTGTGTCCATGGATGACAATTCTGGACTACAGGCAAATGTTGCTTGAAACCCTACTGTTTCTTCTGTTGAAAAGGGTGATATAGTAATGAGGATCTTGAACTAAACTACTAAAGATAAATGAATAGATCACTGTAAGGTGAACTTTAAATTCATACAAATTATTTGTCCATGAGTTCCAATATGACTCCATGTGCACAAATGTATTTTATGTCAACTGGTTTGCATTGATGAGATCATGGATTTGATTGTGATGTAATAATGATAACACACTAGCTAAAGATATTTGAATTTTATCAAAAGTGGGGCTTAAAAGGCTTAAGAAATAATGGGTAATAAAGAAAATATTACTGGAAATTATCATTATTATGAACTTGTTTCAGAATTTATGTAGTACTATCTTTTTGCTTGGGAAATACAATAATTATGACATTGTATAACATACTATGAAATAATCTGTACAAAGGTCACATGTTCAGGCCTCATGCTTCTCCGACTAGGTGAACTGGCACTGCATGTCTGTCTGGTTGTTATTGTCCGTGTACCTAGAGTATCCTAACTGTGGACTGTTTGTTTCAGGTATGACTTCAAAGGCATCATTGACTACATCTTCTATTCAAAAGATCACATGAACATGCTTGGCATGCTAGGGCCGCTCGATGAAGAATGGTTTCGTCAGAACAAAGTTATCGGATGTCCTCATCCTCACATCCCATCAGATCACTTTTCACTGTTCGTGGAGTACGAGATGCCAGTTGGCACCACACAAAACGGTCGCAGCAGCAACACAAACAGCAACAACGCAAACAACAACAGCAGTAGTAGCAGCAACGCGCCCTCAACTGGGAAGCTGAGATAGGGGACATAACTGCAGGCGTCTCATCAAGTCATTGTATAGATCTAGAACATATCAATTCTCGTCAATTCTTGTCACATGTACAGAGAAATTCATCACAAGTTATAGGAGATGTGCTCATTTGTACATAGACATACCTCCCTCATCTCCGATGTCATTGTGTATTTAGGGTGGGGTCTGGGGGCTTCAACGTTGTATTCCAAAAGCACTGCCGCAAAGACAGACATCAGTGACAGACACTGTGTGTGTCTGTTGGTTGAAAATTAAGCAGCATTTTGCTCTAGATAATTTATTTTTCAGCGTTCTAAAGGTGCTGATGTAATATTTAAGTTTAGAAGCAAGTGAGCAATTTCTCTGTGCATCCTGAGCCAGCCATGTTTTTGTGAGTAGGACTAGACCAGCATCTGATGGTAGGATGTATCCTGAAGCTGGAATGATGTGCTAGTTGATGAGGACGATACTATGGAGGTTGGTGTGCTCTGAACTTAATGCGTGGTTTGGGACCAAGAATGCAGCTGAGTGGGCAGCAGATGACACCTAGCTACGGCAAGAGAACCCATCTCCATAACATTCTGAGATCATTTCACGGCTTACTGGTCAAAATAGCACCCATGTTTATTTTCATTATTCACAATTATATTCATGGTCTGGCCATTGATCATTTCTTCTGCATATCAAGAATCAAGACATGCCTGACAGAAACTCATTTGATTTACATGCATCAAAATCCTATTCGGAGAAATTATTACTTAATATCAGGGACAAATCACCAAATATATAATATATATATATATATGCATTCTTTGGGTGGAAGTATAGGTACTTAACATTACCAAAGATTGATCTCAACCATCATAACATGTACCAAATCAAGTTGTATATATAACATCATGCTTTTTAGTCAGTCCATTTAGAGTGCAATGTTCACATTTTTTATCAGTATTTTAATTTCCAATGAGGACCAAGCATGTAAAACCTGCCTGAATGCACATGCTTGGTCTCTTGTTGTTTTAGCCCTCATTTGTCACTTGATATATTCTTGGGTTCTCTTTGCTGTGAGCTTGTTCAGCTTCGTAGAGAAGGGACTGCAATCTGCAATACTTCAAATTAAAAGCCTTGAAGCCCAACACTGAAATTCTTCTGCCTTTGAAAGACACTGTGGGACATTTAGATCTTGCCTCTTATCAAATTTTTGGAAATGGCTTACAAACAAATTGCTGGTCATTTGCCATAAATGAACAATAGTGTGTGATGGAAAACTGTTGGTTGCACGAGATGATGGAAGGGAGATAACTCCTGGTGACCTGTGGACCAAACTTTGTGGAGGAAGCTGAATGAGCAAGATGGTGGTCTGCAGAGCTGGTTCAAGGAATGCAATAAATTGAAGAGTCAGGAACTGACTGTCGACTGACTAACCTCTACTGTAGCTTCTTTGCTTGACATGATATTGGTCAGGATTTTAGAAATGTGTTGTGACTGTGGTGTGTATATTGCCTATGAAATAAATAAAATTATACCATTTGTACATTGAATACAAACCAGAGTTGACAGCTGTAAAAACATGTAAAATTTTAAACACTTTTTGTTTTTAATCCTGTAATATTTATATTTCGTCAGATATTCAAAAAAGAGTATATATTTTAGTAAAGTCTTCTTACTCCCATGTTCAGGGTGAATAAGCATTGGTTGAAGAATTTTCATATTGAAGCACGTGGACAAAACAACAAAAACATGTTAGCCAGTAGACTCTGGTCACCATGGTGATTGCCAGCAGTGTACAGATATAAGGATGTGTCTACTGTGTTCACAAGTTGTATAGAATCTGAGTCTGATGGGTGCCGTAGCTTCTAGTGGGTATCTTGTGTGCATTCTTAGCTCTTGTTTGCTTCTAACTATTGTTCTTGTAGCTATGTGACAAGTCTTGGTTTGGGTTTCCAACACAGGTCACTCCGCAGTTAGCGAGCTGCCATACTTGCTGCTCGTCAAATGTGCTGTCAAGACAAAATTGTTTAATATTCAATGAATTTCAAACAAATCATGAATAGTCAGCCACGCAGCGAATCTCTGAGATACACTACTGAAAAACAAGTTGAGGCCCATCAGATTCTATGATGTTACTGCAGTTAATCTGTCATGAGATGACAGTTGAACTATACTAACATAAGAGTCGGGTGATTGTTAATGTTTCTTGGTAATTTATTGCATACATTTAACATGCTCATCCTATAGCTCATGATAGATTTGTCGTAAGTTAGAATGAATTGATCACTGCCAATTTGTACATGAATGGAAGTTCTAGACTGTTAGAGAGTGAGTGTTTTTTGACAGCACATTTGACATACAGTATTCTTGATTAATGAAACGTTAGACTGACTACTCATGTTATTTATTTCAATTAATTGTAACTGGGACAGATCAAGCTTGCAGTAATGGGTCACGGTCATGTACTGTTTTCGGGGGGCAAAACTCGTCTGTAGAGTTAAATCTCTTCCATATTAGAAGGAATTTGTTTCATTTAAACTTATGTTCTTTAGAAAAAATGCTTTTTCAGTATCTCTTGATATTTGTTGCCAAGATTATTTCCAAATTTCTGAATTCGCTGTGAGTAAAACAAAAGACTATTTTGATTTTAACTGCCATATTCAGAGCCAGCTTGATCGCGATCTGCAGTGTTAGATGACAAGCATATCCATATGATGTTTTTGCAGTTCACCAAAGGGAGACAATTCCTGGGGAAGCATCTTTCAGTTTTATCCTGGAACCACTAAGAATCTCAGTTCTATAGGACAGTCATCTGAGCCCAGCTGTACATTCTGTGTAGAAATGGCAAGGGAAACTACTCTGTCAGTGTATCATCAGTCTCTGCTACTTTGTGTTGCTGTTAGTCTGCAGTGTCATAGTCCCATTAAATGAAATCTTCCTTAGCAGTCTTAATCCTTTTTTCTGTTTTTTAGCACAATGTTGTGCCTCATTATGACTGCTTTTTAACTGATTCATTTCTACAGAAGTTTATAGATAGTGTCTGGGAAACTATTGAGAGGCTAAAGAGATATTTACAGTGAGCATATTTTGGTATATTTTATGTGAATTCGTGTCCCCTTTGCACAGTTGTCTTTCCTTGTTTCCTGCATGTGCAAGAGCTGTTTTTGATGGTTATGTTGTCACTGAAAGAAGAAATTGAAATGTGGCTTGTCTATCCTTATTTGCTTGATGAGAAAAGTGCATGAATTTGTATAGTTTAATACACTGACACCCAGATAGCAATTTGTACATGCTGTTGAAATTTTGTAGGCAGGTAGAGCTGGTTTAGACATTGTCACATGGGGCATAGTTGAAAAATTCGAAGTGCTAGCGCCAGGGCCAGTGTGTGGTTTCTGTGTCATGTTACCAGTTGTACCAAACCCACATCATCATGTGCTAGATTTGCAACTACAAAAAATAGTGTCTCGTATTTTTCAAATTTTGTGACTTAATGCAAATAAATTAGAATGAATGTTTTTATACATGACAATATTTCTAAGTCTTATATTGTATATTGGCGACCAAACAAAGTTGGTAATGAAATGCAGGCAGCTGAAGTAAGATGGCTGTGCAGGTATTGTACATTGTGAATGTGTTCCCAGGGGAAATCCTAATGGGGCAGCATTTTGTGGTGATCAATGTATGATTTTTTAAGCTCAGGAACTTGTGATTTGAAATGTTATCATGAGTTGTCATGTAGGATTTTGACACACAATCTTGAGTGAAGGACAATTTTAGAACAATGTTTAGACTTGATACCTTTTATTAGTGATTTAAGAACCAGAGCAATATCTGTATTTTAGTACTGAACAACATCTGGGTAGATAGCTATGTCTCATTGAAAAGTGAACTGTGCTTCACATTCCCTCTAATCTGATCCTTTAGCCTACCAATACTCCTTTTGCATTTAGATGTATTTGTATATTTTGTGTCCATTTCTTAAAAATTCCAATAAATTATGGAGCAGTGAAACGAAATCCTGAGTTGACTTTTCATTTTCCTTAAGCCAAAGGAGACACTTCGTATGGATGGGAAGATCCTGGAATGGTTTCATTTACTGGTCAGGTTCCTCAGTTAAAATATCTTACAGATCACTGTCCGAAAAATATGGATGGTTATAATACACAAAAATAAACAAATCTTGTTCATTGGTTATTGTAACTGGTGAGAAACATCACACTGGAAATATGTATGAGGTGTATTTAGTCCAACAATATATGATGTAGCTGGTTTTCAAAAGATTCAAATTGCTAAAAACAACAGTGATGGCATTGAGAAAGATCACATGTTCTATGCCAGAGTTTTACCTGATGTGCAGATGTGTGCCCAGTACTGCCCTGCATCCAGAAGGACGCCCAATGTCATTCACTGTACCCACAACACATCTATACTAAGCAGCAAAAGAAACGTCAGTTTGGAATTTTCCTTTGCAGAAACGGATAACTGTAAACTCATTCAGTGTTTTGATTGTATTTTTTTGACAACATCTCCCAACTTTACCTGAGCAAAGACATTCCTTCCCACACTCAGAATGGAACCCAGGAAATGGTCTCAAAAACAAAACCTGATCTCGGAGATGGTACGGTGTTCTCCATGTTTTTCATGCAACTCTTGCTGCATGTGCTGTTCACAAGGACCAGCCCTATAAAATGCACCCCCAAACCTGGTTGAAACATTCACATTACAACGTCAGCAGGATGCTGCGACTCACGACAGCTCAGAGGAACCAGGTGCTAGGATTACTTGAAGCTGGCCACACTGCACAAGCCATTGCCAATCACTTCCAGGACAATGTTTTGACCATCTAAAGGCTGCAGCAACGTTTCCGGGCCAGCAACACCACAAATGATCGCCCCTGTACTGGCAGACCAAGGGTCCCCACAAGACCGCCATGTTGTGCGACAGCATGGACAGAATACCTACATGCAGGCATTCGAAACAGCACGCCAGACAGTGGGAACCCACGGAAGACCAATCAGTACTGATAAAGTACGCCGATGTCTTAACAGCGGGAACCTCCATTGCCGTAGACCTTATCGTGGACCTATCCTCACCCCTCATCATCGGCGTGAACGTCTACAGTTTGCCCTACAACACCAAAACTGGTGATACAGGCAATGGGGAACTGTTCTGTTCACAGATGAGTCGGTACTGCGAATCAACTGCAGATGGCAGAACAAGAATATGGCGACGACGTGGCCAGCGTTACTCAGACCAATGTGTTATGGAAAGAGACCCATGAGGAGGAATAGGCCTGAACCAGAGTGTGGGTCCTGTGGTGTTCCAGAACCTTGGTCCAGGGAGAGGAGGCGGCATCACAGCATTGCGCTACATCGACCAAGCTCTCAGGCCCCACGTCATACCACATTTCGCATTTCACCGGAACAACATTTTCCAGCATGATAACGCCCGGGCCCAAACTGCCATAGCTACACCGGACTTCCTTACAGCAGAACGGTGTCAACATTATGCAGTGGCCATCCCTTAGTCCTGATTTAAACCCAATTCAACATCTTTGGGATGAAATTCAGTGGAGACTGGCCTTGGTATGACACTATTCAAACAGAGCCGATTTATTGCGCCAGGCTTTTCTCAAAGTGTGGTTCCAGGTGCCAATGGCCTTCATCAATCGATTGTTGCACTCCAGGCATAGACGCTGTGCTGCAGTTATTGCCGCTCGTGGTGGTCACACAAGATACTGAAGTCAAGAGTCTGAATGGACTGCAAACGTTCACATGTCTTGAAATTGTGCTGAGTTAGTCATTGATGTGTCAAGATAGTGTACACAAAAAATGGTTTGATTTCTGTAATGATCTGATTACAGTGCCTATCTAATTTTGAATTCGTACAGATGCGTTTTTTTGCTGCTGAGTATATATGTTTGGTTGTTTCTTGTAGAGCAGTTACATGCATCAATTCACACGATCAATGATTTATTCCAGGCTCTAGAGAAAGTATCAAAACATACAGTTCTCTCTACACCATTACTTCATAGGACCCTCAAAACGAATAATAATGGGTCCCAGAAGTAGTTGGTGAGTCTAGGTAAAACCCTGTATGCAACAACAAGTGCCATAGAAATAGGATCAGGCTAGCTATTCTCGAAACATTCGTAGCCCTACAAATTTCTTAAGCCCATTCTTAACACATTGGCTATGATCAAAGTTAAGAATTCTTAAGGCTACAAACGTTTCGAGAATAAGGGCCCAGGTCTCCTTCCTCAGATGTCCAGCACCAAACAAGTGAAAAAAAGTACCAATGTAGCATATTTCCAGACCAGACATTGAGATGATGCAGTACACCACCATACTGAAACTGTTATAGTCTCGTCCAGAAAGACCTGCTCGTCACCATTGACATTTTAAGAAAGGCAACTAAACATGATCAATGTATATGTGACAATTGTAGTCACTTGCTAAAAAGTGCCCCATGGCATTTGATTGTAAAATGAAATGAAAATTCAGAAAGTCAATTTGATGTTCAGAAAGTTGTTTATTCACATCAACATATAAAACCCAACTTCAAGCACTTGAATAGACTAAAATCCTTGGGATCAAGGCATATTTCCACCTCAATCCATCCTGCATAGGAATCAAACAATATAAAGTACAGGAAAAATTGCATTAAGCATAGCAAACACAATAACATTGTTTGTACTGCTAGAAAAAAATGTACCAAGACTTCTCTCAAAATATGTTCACATGAGAAAGCAATTTGAATAGTTCAGTGAACTGATATCAGAACCATACCAGAAATTCCATTGTTTTTGTGTTTGAGAAATGATACAAGGAAGACGAGACATCTTGTGTAAGCTTGTACAAAGACAAGGAGAATACTGTAAATTCTTGATTAATTTAACAATTCCATCCCCTAATAAAGTCCTAACAAAATCTGGACTTTGAAGGGGAAATGCAAATCATTCCAATTTTGTTCTCTGACATTTAGAAGGTATTTATTGATCATAGGCACCTCAGATTTGGGGCTTCTCAGCAGCTGGACATGTACAAGATCAGAACATGTACAGGGTCAGTGGTGAGATGGTGTGACTGACTGTCCCCCATTCTGTTTAGTTAGCTTTTGAATTAATTCTGATACTTGTTTCCATTCATTTTACAGAAACAAATGATCTTGATAAACCTGGAGAATTAATCAGACATTTACAGTACACAAGGCACTCAATCATCATGGAAACAGCCAATTTATTCATATTAAAGGTGCCTACCAAATTGTTACCCATAAATGTTCCATGTCGTCATGATCTTATTATAACTGATCTAATTTTTCCAGTTAAGTGTTGAGCATTTTTCCAAAAGGAAAACAAGAATGACAAATCTCAAGCTGGATGGGTGAAAGTGTATAAAGCAACTTGCCAAACGAGAGATTCAAAGAGCATAATAAAATATTTCTCAGTCTACATGTAAACAAGCATTAAATCCATTCACTCCACTAAAATAACATACTATTCTGATGTGACTAATCATATAACAAACAGCAAGCAACCAATCATAGCTTATAAGGAGTGGATGAGATTCTACTTGGGTGATGACTATTTTCAACTTAGACCTGTACCTGACAACAATTCAACACATGGAGACAGATCAACTCGTCATTTGGGAAGTAGTATTGTGTTTCAGGGTATGGGGAGGTTGAAGTGAATAAATACTATTTCTCTCCCAAGAATAAACATGCTTTATCTCTGGTTTCTCGTTTTTCACAATACATTGTAATAGGCGACTTTGTAAGAGTTACAAATCACAATTTACATTTTGAAAATGTAAAAAAGATCAGCCTTTGTTTCACAGTGACCAACAATGGGTGAAAACATTCATAAGACCATAAAACATCCTGCCAAGGGTGATAAAGTTTTAATTTATTTTCTGTCAATGTAGTGAAGGTCATATATTCCCCAGCAACTCTTTTAGAAAGGTTAAACACCGAGAGTCAGCGCTATTGGACCTGAACTCACAGTGCTAGGAAATGGTAGCAATACAATCTTTCTTGTGGACTTCTATACACACCAAAGTAAGTATAAGACGTTTACGCTGCTCTACTGGGATATTAAGCATGGGCATCGGAGTGAGCTTTACAGACTGTACTCAAACATGAGTGTTACACTCACAGGCATCCTGACGCCATACAGCAGACAATAACAACATATACCACATGTAGAGCGGGAAATTGAATCATTACTCGGTATTTAAAAATATTGTTATTGTTGGCATGCTAACTTAACAGGTGCTGCTTCCCATGGCTGGTTATATTCAAATTGTACAGGTTCCTGCACTGAAAAAATGAAAAAATAAATAAAATGAAGAAAATTATCATAATCAACATTCCAGGTTTGGTCCTCAGGAGTAGTAATTAGAATTCCAACAAGTAAATATTGCTAAGGTCTTAGTACACTGTAAAGTTCATTCCGGACAAAGGGTTCGTTCTCTTTGCAATCTCTATGGAGAAGTTAAATGATAGTCGTCACAAAACATGTAGTTATCTGTAGAACCTTGACTCTAGAAGATGATGATAGACTGTAAATACAAGTTTGGCATTTATAAAGAAAGGCAAGGGTCAAGCTAAGGAAGTAAACCCATGGACTCATTATTAATGTAATATTATGTTTTCTAATTTCATCATTTCTTCAACTTAAAGCAAATTAACTCAGTAGCACACTGAGGACAGTTAAGCAGCAAGGTTACGTACTAAATTTTAATATACACTGCTTGAAAAACTATGGGTAAAATCTCCAGGCACTATAGATATATTGGACACGATGCCAGCAGCTTAATGCAACACATACAACAACATACACAACAACATATGAAGGTATCTTGGTAAACCCGCTGGGTCATAACAACTCTTTCACAAAGAGTCAACTAGAACTTTCGCAATCATAAATAGATGTTTCCTACATAAAAATGTACACCACTGCTACTACAAATATGCCATCGAAATATACAAATACGCTCCATTCAAAAGAAATTAATTTTTTTTAAATCTATAAATCTTATGGATATGTCCTTAAATACAAGATCTGAAACCAACAAAGATAACCAAGGTTCAGTTTTGACAATCTTTTCACATGCCACACTCCAACAACTGATCTTTGGACAAATAAAAAATAACTTACCTAAATACAATTTTTTTGCTGTAATCCATCATTGATAGATCAACAAGTACATTTTCAATAATCTTTCAACTTGTTGAAACAAAACCATAAAATGGGAAAACTCTTACATGTATTTTACATACTTAACATCAAACATCACCTGATTAAAAAGGTTGGTCAAAGGGAGATAACTCCTATAGGACATCTTGGAGGGTTACCAACAACTATTCCTGTCTTAACTTCATAGAAATAGGAATGAAAAAAACAAAACAAAAAAACAACAGAAAGGTCAAGTTCATAAATATTATCTGAATTTTTATGTTAATAGACTGTCAAGTGTATGGTCAAATATAGAACCCCAGGCAATGAAGGGCAACTTGAGTGTCCAAGATCAGCGTGTACTAGCAGGGTGGTCTCCCCTATTGTCCTCCCACTACTGCAACATCCAAAGATGACAAAGTTACTTTGGAAAGTTATTTGTTTAAAATACTGTGTTTTTTATTTACACAGGAATATCTAATTAACAAAACTTGACCTGTTATCAGGAAGAATTTAGCTTCAAGAGGAGTTCAGTTACTTACATTTCTCTGGCCAAATGAAAACTTTTAAATATCACATCTCTAGTAATAACTGCATTGTTCCAAGCTACTCACTTATTCTCTTGCCACTGTACAACATAACCACGGCAACACACATACATGGTGCATATGTAAAAGGTTACTAAAATGATCTGACAAGAACACATGTACATTCAACTATCGATCATTCATCGCTCCCTGCCCTAAGGCACAAGGTAGATATAAAGCACAGTGGTGGATGAAAGTTTGTACATAGTGATAACCCCAGGCACTTAAAGCTGATACGTAGCTGTCTCCACCCCGAAATATACCACTCAAAACAAGCTAAAGAATACCTAACCATTACTGAAGCAGGGTCAGTTAGATCATCTGTCATTCCATAACAAACTGTAGCAAAATGAAACCATCAAGTTCCTTAACGTCTTTTGTGAAGTAATTCTACTTAAAATTCCTACTCATTTGGCACACACTAGAATGTCGATGACATGCGAATAAATAATGTTACCAATACTTTGGGCAGGACATCACAAGCTAATTGTATTACATGGCTGTGCATAACAACAGGCTGACAGAAACCATTTTCAGAATTAAACCCTGTTGATTCCGACAGAGACTGTCTGGAGTAACAAATCCTGTTGTATTAGCGAGGCTTAACTCACAATGTTTCACCTGGTACAGGTGTACATGCCAGACGATGGAGGCAGTGAGAAAAACGTAATCAGTGCAACATACCTGTAATAAACACCAAGAATTGTCAGTACATAATATACCCATGTGGGAATCAAACCCCTGTCCTCAGCAATATTAGCAAACACTTAACCCTCTAGACTACCCAACTGTGTCAGAAGCAGATACACTATATAACAATGTGGAAAAATTACACAAGCAAAGATAAAAGGGTTTGTGCCAAATATAGGTGCTCAGATAACATTTAAATCAAATTGCAAAATATAAACTATATCTGGAGAAAAACAAAACCAGACATGTATCATCCCTAAATAAACACCATAAGGTGACAATGCCAGTGTAATGGACAAATGGAGGGTTCGTTCTGCATGTGATATGTATAAACGGTAAACAAAACATGCATAAACAGATTGTTGTTGCATATTGTCAAGTATATAAAATACACTGAATCGTAAACAGATGTGACTATTCGATAAAATTCAGATATGTGGCAGTGTGATAACAGTGAACGTATGGTGACTAAACAATAACTCGATGTGGGATCACATTTTGCAAACATTCACTTAATTGCCCTTACGATCTTTCGACTAATCAGTAATCAATCAACTCCAGTAAAGTCAATCCCTGGCTTGTCACAGACGGTAGTGGCATAAAGGCACAAGAGAGTATAAGGCAGTGTGCTATGGAGCTTATCAGTAGTGTATGTCAGATGGACTACCTACATATACCGGTCCACTGATGTTGACAAGTAAGCATCTCAGCCATTCTGATGAATAGTATACTGACATCATGTTATTTCAGAAAGAGATGTTCAGAAAGGTAGATTAAAATTTAACCTTGTATCTTGCACTTTTCAGGCAAGATTTTAAACCCCCCAAACTCGATACTGAATTCCTTTAGAGAAATATTCAACATTTAAAACATTAGTAAACAAATCAGATTATTTTCGTGTTTCTTCTGGAATGTACTTTTAGTGACCCACCTCCCCCCAAACATATATCATGGCATACATCTCCTCCAAATTAACTTCATGATACTCTAAACCTGTCCATAAGTTCATTGATCACACAGACAGGAGAGCTCAGCTTCATTAATTCTGAAGAAAGCATTAAGCACTTTGATGAATAGTAAAACAAAATAGCATCACAGAGTTAAACAGTTAATCCAAGCTGTCATCAAGTTTCCAAGGAAATGTACATCTAGGTGACGCAGAGAAGATAAAGGTGATAAAGATAAGATCTGCCCAGGTGTTCTGTATGTGGACACACATGGTTTGGAAGCTCCTCACATCTCCAGTATCTCGGACTGATCAGCTACACTAGGTATTGGGTTAAAGTCACTGTTAGGATTTACAATACTGCCTTCCAAATCATCGTGTAGGTCCTCGTGGATATCTTCAAATCTGAAATTAGAAAATATAGTGTGATTCTGTTGTGTTGAAACACATTGCTAACTGGCATCATTAAAGGACAAATATCATGTTCTTGACATGTACTATTTCCAAGGATCTCAGTATTTTATATATGTTTGTTATGTGTAAGTAATATGGTGGCAGTAAAAACTGAAGTAATTTTATTAGTAGTATTTGCCAGTGGCAATAAATGATTGAAACACCAGTAAAATGTTGAGTCCTGGGGTGGACAGATTTGATATACTAGTTATTAGAGTTATCTGCCCCTGGTTGTAAACGAACATGCAAGATTTGATCATTAAGATGTCTTAATATAACATGGAACAGTATAAAGAAGCATGGCTGGACCCATACAAGGGCTGGAGGTGAAAAAAGTTGATTTAGCCATGCCCTGATTGGCTGACTGTATTATTGTGTTTTGGAGTTAACAGTTAAATTAGCAGTGTGAGAAGTTATTCTGTCTGAGTTATTTATTCAAGAAAGTTCACTATCCAACAATTTGCCACACATATTTACAGTGCACAAAACTGTTTAACATATATCTGAAAAAAAATACTGAAGTCATTCTAAAGCATTGCAAACTGAATATATGCCATACATACCTATCATATGATGGTTTCTGAGTGATAGTTTCAAGTCGTTTTTCTCGACGAGTTTTAAATGTTTTCAGCATGTACAACATTGCTGACACAAACATTATAGATCCTGCAACGCAAAAATAAGTCATGAAATTATATAAATTACATTATATTTCAGATTTGAAAGTGCTTTCTCAAAGTGAAACAATAAAACATACATAAGGTCATGTTTAAAATCTATCCAAACACATTTCTACAAAAGAATAGGCTACAAAAATGACCAAATGGAAATGTAATTTTTCTTCGACTTAGTAAACTTGCATTCAAAATTACCAAACATCTTCAAGACTAACATACAGGATTTTTATTTTGTAAACTTGCAGTCTATTGACTTTAGACAACTACAGTTTCTACTGCTGCCAGTATGTCTGAAGGATTTTTTTTTTTACCAAACCTAAGGATATAGTCTCTGAGCAAGGATTCCACTAAACACGACCAATATGAAGTTTTTACAACATGCTTGGGATGTTCTTAGGTACCTCAAGCAGGGTCAAAGATTTGATCAAGTTCAAATATTCAGGGCAAAGACGGCTACTGAATATCTCTGATGTCAGCCTTTTTGTTGTTGCAGTTTCACTCCAGTTGTTTCTTGTTAACCATAGCAACATGCAAGTATTGAACAGATAAGAATGCAAATACACATTCAAAGAACACATCTGATTATACAATTTATATATTTAGCTAAATTCTTGAGTTATGTATAACATAGTGTTGGGAATTGGTTAAAATCTCATAATTGATGACTGGTTCATCACAACTGATCAATCATCGAAAAAAATTGGTTAGCGTCATTTATCAAATTTTCCTGGTTATGTTTGTTAATGCACAAAAAATAAAGAAAAAACACGTTCTTTCGATTTTTTTGCAAATTTTACATCTTTAAAGGATGACTAGTATGTTAGGAACCTAAAGCTCCTGGAATCTTTAAAAATATATTCAATCCTGACTTGGAATGAGCTGGTAGTGCTTATGAAATGTAACAGACAAAACCAACCTTGTGAAAAATATTGTTAAAGCGAAATAAGTGTTCCAAAATTGTTTGTGATCGATTATGAGAAAACATGATTGATTGCTTGGTCGTTTAGTCATTGCGACCAATCTTCAACTATTTCAATTAATCGGACCACCGCTAGTATAACACGTGGGCAAAACGGGTCCTTCAGTAGCGCTCCATGGCATCACCGAGTAAGCTATCAAATACATGCAGCAACATTTGGTCTGTGTTCCCATTATTAGGCATTAAAATATTATCAGTTTTATTCACTATTTGTATACTTTAACCTAAAACCTATACAGAAATATATTTATAAACGGTTCCCTTTGAAACTGATTGACAGTCTTGTGGAAACGCTGCCTGTGATATTTCTTTCTAACGCTGTTATATCCCTTTATCCATAACTCGCTAATAATGGTGATGTTTATTTTACTATAAAGTTTGTTTTCTTTAAAGCTGCACACAGCAATATTCCAGCTATATTCCAGCGGTCTGTAAATAATAAAGGCCTGGACCAAACGATCCAGTGATATTTGATATGAAGAAAACACAACATACAATCAATGCTCCTATGTACTGCAACTTGAATCCCAATATAGATACCTGTATCACTATATCATGCATACAACTGATATTCAATACTGTTCTTATCTTTAGGCATTATGCACAATACCTTGTCCTTTCAAAAAATGATGTCATACATAGAGTATGTTTTTCATTAAAGGGCCACTGATCCAGAGCAATTTCCGTGGACTAGTTGTTGCTTTTGTTATTGTTTTTCTCCCCTGAGTACCCGAATGATATCCAGAATTCATGACTGGTTCGTTACCTCTGCTGCGCCACCCTCATGTGCAATTGATAGTATAAGTATAGACTGATAAACAAAGATGAAATCTTTTTTACTCGATAATCTTGAATTTGTTAATTATGTAGACTGTGATGAATACAAACCAATAATAGTGATTTGAAACTATGATAGTTTGTTAAACAACTTTTATCCTAAGTTGAATAAAGTTCTGAGATTTTAATGTTCATTTGGCAAGGTAAAATTTAACTAAACCTGCAGAGGTTTCCAATTCTTTGAAGAAAGTCGTCCTTGGGGTACATATATGCATTTTCTGCGGCTGAAAATGTCCTGTGACAGTTGTATCAATGTTTTAATAAAAATATTGTACAATAAATAAAATCTTTTTTATCTATTATATGGCCGCCACCACGTGGAGTTACCTCCCTGCTACGCATGCGCAGCCAACCAGGTAAACACCTATGCCCGTATCCTCATTCCTTCTGCTGGATAAATCAGGGCAACAGAATTGCGTGGAGGTGGGCAGCCCTACCTCAAGGACGACTCTCTTCAAAGAATTGGAAACCTCTGCAGGTTTAGTTAATTCTTTTTCAGAGAGATCGTCCTTGGGGTACATATATGCATTAACTCAGACTCTCAAAGACCGGAGGCAAGGGAGGAGGGAATTCTGTCAAAGTACACATGAATAGCGATCGTTAGGAAGAATGTAACAGACGCCACAACACTCACCTGTCACATGTCCCGAAGCTTCCGCGAGAGGCATTATGGGAGGGTAACCGACAGGGAGGATAAGTACTTAGATCCGACCTCATAGGTTAAGCATAGCAATTCTCACACAGTACAAAAGTAAATACACCGTCTACATCATGGTCTATTAGAGAGCATCGTAAGGGGGAAAAACCAACTCACAACCGACTATAATCTCCGGAGAGAATCGAAAGGAGTTAGATCACACAACAGCGGATATATCAATAAAACACAACTGAAAGCAGCGTCAACTGACCAGATAACCAAGACTCACTTGGTCAGGGTGGCAGGACACTGTCCACTGGAGAGAACAGAACGGCCAAAACGCGCACGATCACGTGAATGTGTATCGAGCTGATAGTGCCTGATAAAAGTGCTAGGCCTGCTCCAAATAGCGGCAGAGCAGATCTCTTCAATGGGTAGTGCCGATGCAAAAGCCTTTGACGTGGTGACTGACCGACCGGTGAGCGTGATCGACCTTCGGACTGTAAGTATCCGGGAGGCGAATACTGACATGATCTGGATGGAACACAGTCAGCGCCAGGTCTGACGACATAGCATGTAAGTCGCCGACCCTACGCTCAGATGTTACCGCCACCAGAAATACAACCTTCCATGTTAACAACTGAATGGAAATAGCCGATAGACGAGAGAACGTAGGACCGGACAGCCAATCTAGCACAATTGACAAATCCCAAGGTGGGTTGGTTTGCCTGACAGCAGGTCAAACCCAATCCACGCCAGCTAAAAAGCGCTGCATGAGAGGGTGCTGCCCCTGAAGAGCACTATCGACAGGGGTGTGAAAAGTTGAAATAGCGGTGGAGTAGCCACGAATGGTCGAAGACGCCAAGCCTTCTTCCAAACGAGCTTGCAAAAACTCCAATACTCGGACTAAATCCGCAGATAAGGGATCTGCAATCCCCTTATCTGAACACCAGCGCGCATAGCGGGACCACCTATCCTCATACTGAACGTTTGTCGAACCCCGCCTCGAAGCCAGAATTGTGTCTGCAATTGCTGCAGGAATTCTGTGTGCTTCGAGGCTAGACCTGACAGAGGCCAAGCCACCCACTGAATCCTTGGATTGGGGTATGGCGCGCCGTTCTGAGTGAGAATGTCTGGTCGCAAAGGTAATAGAACAAGAGGCTGAACCAGAAACCTGAGAATTACCGGAAACCAGCTCTGTGACGGCCATAGCGGTGCCAGTAGCACAAGTAGCCGAGCTGGCTGGGTGGACAGCTGGGAGAGGAATGAGTGGTAGCGGCGGGAACGCCCAGAGCACTTTGCCCGTCCAATCCAGCAGGAAGGCGTCAGAAGCCAACGCCCTCTGGTCCGGTATTCGAGAGCAGAACACGGGTATCTGATTCGACCCGCCTGACACACACAGATCCACCTGGAACGATCCGTACAACTGGGAGATAACTCCGAATATCTGCAGGTCGAGCATCCACTCGTGTGGGGCCAGGATCCGGTCAGAGAAAACGTCTGCTCGCACATTCTCCAGCCCCGGGAGATAAACAGGAAGCACCTGACAGTCGCACTGGTCGCACCAGAGGAGAAATTCCCACGTCTCCCAAAGGAGCGCTAGGGACACCGTGCCGCCTTGCTTCAGGATGTACATCATGGCCGTACGATTGTCCAACTGAAGACGAACCACCTGGCCCTGAACATGCTCCCGGAAGCGCTCGAAAACCAACAGCGCAGCTCTCAGTTCCAAAACGTTGATGTGAAGGCGGGCTTCGGCTTCGGACCAGAGTCCGGACACCGACAGACTGCCCAGAACACTCCCCAAGCCCGTGAGGGACGCATCGGTTTGAACTGTAATAGCTGGCATCGGGATTTCCAAAGGGATCCCCTTGGAGAGATTCCCGACATTGGTCCACTACTGAAGGTGAGGAGACAACCACCCGGGGACTGTGAGACACTTCTCCAGATCCTCCGAGCGAGCCCACAGACTCGCCAAAGCTTGAAGTATAGGGTGCATCCTCAACCGCGCTCGCCACATGACAGAGATAGTCGACGCCATATGGCCCAGTAGACGGAGCCAAGTCCGCGGTGGTGCCTGCGCCTGGGAGAGGAACGAAGACACCATCTCTCGTACTCTGGTAACCCGGTCGGGCGACAAGGAGACAAGATCCTTGTGAGTTTGGAACTGCGCCCCGAGAAAAAACAAGTCCTGGGTGGGTACCAGGTCGGATTTCTTGAGGTTTATGATCCACCCCAGTTGAACTAGAATGTCTATCACCTTGTGGGTAGAATCTAGGCTTGCTGGCTGAGCAACCAGTCGTCGAGGTAAGGGTAACAACGCCTTCCTTGCAACCTTGCGAAGGTAGCTGGCACTAGCATGAGCTTGGTGAACACCCTGGGGGCAGTGGATATGCCGAAGGGGAGCACCGTGAACTGGTAAACCATCCTGGCGTAAGAGAACTGGAGGTACTGCATGAACGATGGATGAATTGGCACATGTAGATATGCATCCTTTAGATCGATCGACGTAAGTCAATCGCCGGGCTGAACAGAGCAGAACACTGAGCGAAGTGTCTCCATCTTGAAGGATAGAACCTCTAGCATGCGATCAACCCCTTGAGGTTGAGAATGGGACGGAACCCGCCGTCCTTCTTCGGAACAAGGAAGTACGTGGAATAAAATCCCGCCTGTTCCTCGCCCGGTGGTATGCGCTCTATTTCGGACTTGTCCAGCAATGCCGGTGAACTCTGGCGGGCCTTGCTTCCACAGTGGTAGATGGCCGACACTGACGGTGGAAAGCACCCAAGTGTTGCTGGTAGCCTTCTCCCACTCCGGCAGGAATAAAGAGAGGCGGCCCCCCACTGGGACGTGTGGTAAGAGAGGGTGAGTGGTCCCTTGCAGATGAACTGACTGGGACGGACCCACAGCGACAGCCTGTTGGGTTAACAGGATGTCGCGGCAGACCTCCCGCGCCAGCGAAAAGGCTGGTGGGAGCCAGACGAAGAGGACTGCTCCTTGCCCTTACCTTCGGCGGGACGGCTCCTCCTCCTACCCCTGCCCAGTGGCCGAAGCCAGCCGGCAGACTCGGATGTAGGCTGCACCTCGGAGGAGGAAACCAACAAGGCCTTAGAGTCCTTGAAGGAGGTAGCTGCAGCAGCAGCCACCCGAATGACCTGCTGAGCCCCAGGAAACAACATCGCTCCCAGACGGAACAGAAGGGCTATTAAGGTCTGCTGTGTTGCTGCCGAGTAGCGAGACGTCGACAGCCACAGCTTGCGCATCCCCATGACTGCGCACATCACCGTAGACGCCGCGGACCGCAAGATAGCAAACCTGGCAACTAATTGCATGATGTGCGCCATTCTTTAAAAAAGTAATTTAGTTAGCCAATAATGAGCAATCAATCAATGTATTGGCGGTAAATCCTTTGAAGGAAGGACGTTGTTTTTACAAAGAGACTTTACGACAGGGTGTGTTCAGTATAGATTAGTAAATCTACATACATAAACACTACCTTTTGACAAATCCGCTGTGCAGGATAAAAGCAATTAATCAATCAGCGTGTTATCGCTTAATCCTTTGATCGATCTTTGTTTTGTAACTCAGCTGATAATTCTTCTTACTGCTCTTCCATGCGCATATTATATAAGATGTAATACATTTGCCACTTCAGACCTCAATTTATAATGATGAGTATTTACTCCAGACACAAGAAATGCCAAATGGGAACCTTTGTCGGGTAATCTGAGTGGTGTTATTACTAATTATACCTGTTATAAATTCATTAACTGACCATCAAGTGAATGATGACAAATAACATGTGTACTGTTTACCACCAAACAAGGGTTACAGCAAGAGAGTAGTAATCGCTGTATTGCATGCAAGTTTGATTGCCTGAAAAAAAAACTTATGGGCCGACACTGTTTTGAGGATACGAACGGAACTTCATTGTTACATAAGAAATATATATAAGCATTTGCTGTGTACTTAGTTAAAAACTGTATGTACCTATGTACCTAAGTAAAATTTCAGATGTTTTTTGCAATGGCAAAGTGGGGTTGTTTAGTTTATAGATTCAAATATATCAAATGTGTGTTTTTGATATCATAGCATACATAATAGATATCATATTTTACATGATTAAATATCGAGGTAAAAAACACAGAAATAGGATCAAATTGGATCAGTCACCATACAATCCAAACATTTGAAAATCTGAAAAAGCCTACACTGCTGGGATACTTTATTACAATCAGACAAGAACTACCGGGGATATTCTTCAAATAACTTCATCTGATGGGCATCCACCCTTCCTAATGTCCTACTGATTAGGTTGAAGAAATTCTGCCAAGGTGGACAGTAGCCCAGTCCCCGTGTCTGTCACGGTCGAGTGAGCAAGGGCTGACCAGTTTGCAGCTAGGTTTTGTAATTAGACTGTTGGCTGGAAACATTAATCGCTCTGGAACAGTGGCCCTTTAATGACTATATCCTTTACCATGCCAACAGGTAAACACTGTCATAAATAATATTTAGAAAAGATAAAAAACATATTTGCTCCAAAACGAGTTGCAAGGTGCAAACAAAACACCAACTAGTATCTCCTTTCCCACTGTCGTACCTGCCAGGACTCCTAGGATAACGTCGTGTGGCTGTATAAAGCACGGGATACAGATGGCGATGTACAGAACCCCCTTCTTCCAGTCATCCAGCCACATCACACAGTCCCAGAACCTCCAGCACTTCGCAGCCGTGGAACTGAACACACACAATACATACAGGTGATCAGGTGCAAATAGGTTCTAAACAAATATCTCAGCATGCTCACTACTCGGCGGGAGGTGGGAGGGGTGGGAGGAGCCATGAACCATGTCCAGTGTGGACTTAAAGTGTTAACAGGTATCATAATTCCCTGTATCTTTGTGCAGAAGGCACGGTCTACATGAGTTCCTGGTGCCAGAAAGTCAAACTTAAATCCTTGTGAAGTAGTTTATGATATGGAGGTATCCAGCTGTACTTTTGAATATTAACAATAACACGATTAATGACTCCATGGAAAGGAAAGGATGGAACTTCTAGCGTTGGTAATATGGTATTCCCTTATGTCATAGATAGATAAAAGTTATTGTTCTTGAGGGCAGATTCAAATTCTAGAGATCATGAAAAACATTTATATCAGTACCCCGTGGCACACTTAATTTGTTCTCTCCCTACTATAATCGTAGGCACCATGCTTAATGTTAGTATGACAAGCATACTGGTGCAATTTCTATCTCTGGTTTAATCTTAAGTGAATATTATTCTTTAACATCAAATACATAAGAGAATTTCTTACCGTGTACATATTTCCACAAAGTAATTGATGACAAAAACAAACTCCAATGCTGTGACAACTACCGCTGCCACTCTGAAACCCAACAAGTAGTAGTATTGGAAATTGGTTAAAATCTCATAATTGATGATTGGTTCATTACAACTGATCAATCATCGAACATAATTGGTCAGCGTCATTTATCAAATTTTCCTGGTTATGTTTGTTAATTCACAAAACATAAAGAAAAAACATAGTTCTTTCGAGTGTTTTGAGAATTGCACACAATGCATTTGCAAATTTTACATCTTTAAAAGATGACTAGTATGTTAAGAACATAAATTTCCTGGAGTCTTTAAGATAAATTCAATCCTGACTTGGAACGAGCTTATGAAATGTAACACTAACAGACAAAACAAACCTTGTGGAAAATATTGTTAAAGCAAACAAGCGTTCCAAAATTGTTTGTGTTCGATTATGAGAAAACATAATCGATTGCTTGGTCGTTTAGTCATTGCGACCAATCTTCAATTATTTCAATTAATCGAACCACCACTAACAAGTAGACACTGAGAGCTTCCTCATGTATCCTACTACAAGGTTTGTTTGTTGTGTAATGCTGCACTCAGCAATATACCAGCTATTAGATGGCAGCCTGTAAATAATGATCTAGACAAGACAATCCAGTGATTCATACAAACAATGATCAACCCCTTTGGGCTTCTATAAAAGAGTACTCCACAAGGTAAAGGAGCCTGACCATCTGACATGATCAAATGATTTTGTGTGCGTCTTATGACCAACAGAACTATTTTATGACCGGAGAGCTATTTTATGACCGGAGAGCTATTTTAACCCAGAATCCACAAGAACAACTACTACAAATCATGAAACTAATGCCAACATGAAATAGTGGGTAATGGTTATATGCCTTACTTTGCAATATCTCAAGATCACAGGATGATAGATACACAATATACGCAGTTTGTTGGTGTCATTAAAACTCATAAAAACAAGGAAAGCATTTATCCTGATAGTTTTATTGCTCTAATAGTAATACTTATTTACTCGCGTATTTGGAGAATCAAACTGTATCATGAATTCAATGAATTAATTGAGGTCACAAGAATTGAACATTTACGAATATTTTTAAGAAAGTATCACACTTTTCAAACAGAAATTATTGCAATAGTTTATCTGAGAACTGGGATATTGGGTAAGTTTAGTCATAATCTCTACGGTTTAAGTTAAAATCTACACAGACATTCACCTATGATATTACCTTTCGTAGTTAATTCACAAAACAGTATACTTGACATTAAGAATTGTAAAAGAAAAGAAAGTATGTATCCCTAACTATTCAACCTATTATTTAAATTGATCTTATCAGAACAATTTATAATTTGGTTTCAGGAGCTTAAGTCTGGGCTAGTAGACACAGCCACACATACAGTGATACACACGCATGCAGTGATGATGCACATCGTCATATAAGCAAAATATTCTTAAGGGCGACGTTAAACCCCATTTCACCTCACCTCACCTCAGGAGCTTTGTATGTAAAAAATAGGGTCTTCATGTACAATTATTGCCTCCCACTGTCAAACACTTCAGCTCCCATTGTATCGCAAAACATTCGTAAAACACATTGTATTTGAATCATAGTAGATTCATTGCAGCCCTAATACTAACAACAAATATGGTGTAATGATTACATCACACATGAGGATATCTTTAACATGTACATAGGTTTTTTTTAAATGTTGATACAAACATCAATGTTCACATGCTGCCAAGTGTTTGTGAAAACTCATTTAAGATGCATTTAGTGTTTATCAGAAGCAAGAAGAGTTTAACTCCCTTTAACCTTTTAAAATAAATAAATATCTGTTAGTTACGCACTGTTTCTAACCCAGCAGTGTCTGTTCAAGTCATGAAAATGACTCTAAATTGTACATGTCTCTTTAGATGAATTATTCACTCTCTTACTAATAATCTGAGTGCAGACTTTCCCAGAAAAATAACATTAAGCTTTAATGAGACATTACATCTGTATGAACAAATCCTTTGTACATTACAAAAATGGACTACAGCATAAACTTCTAACCAGCATGATAGACAATAAACCTGTTTATTACTCCTGGCACTGAATATTACATGAATCTGTCTCTGAAAGATATCAAATACTGTAACCATGGAAACAGGAAATTGGAATTACAGTATAAGGATTGTTATTGTACTCACAGCATGTAAATGCCCAGAACATGTTGATAAAAGGCAGCTTCCACTCCAGCTCCCCACAGAACTGCAAAAAGAACAGGCTGATGTGATTATGGTTGTAAGTTGTAACACTAGATAAAATAATTACATGTTTCTCTTCTTATATTTAACTGATGAGGGAGACAGGTCAAGAATTTCTACCAGGCCCAGTAATGGTGAAATAGCCCCAGTAGTGGAGAGACAGTCCCAGTAGTGGTGACACGGCCCCAGTAGGGGTGACAGGGCCCCAGTAGTGGTGACACGGCCGCAGTAGGAGTGACACGGTCCCAGTAGTGGAGACACAGCCCCAGTAGTGGTGGCACATCCCCAGTACTGGTGACACGGCCCCAGTAGTGGTGACACGGCCCCAGTAGTGGTGACACAGCCCCAGTACTGGTGACACGGCCCCAGTAGTGGTGACACGGCCCCAGTAGTGGTGACAGGGCCCCAGTAGTGGTGACACGGCCCCAGTAGGAGTGACACGGCCCCAGTAGTGGTGACACGGCCCCAGTAGTGGTGGCACATCCCCAGTACTGGTGACACGGCCCCAGTAGTGGTGACACGGCCCCAGTAGTGGTGACACAGCCCCAGTAGTGGTGACAGTCTAATTTCAGTCCTTTTCTTTTCAAAAAGGAAAGTGGGACACTTGTGAATCATTAAATTATGAGAGTGAGAGAGTTTGGGTATTCAACTTATAACTGTACGTCGGCCATATTTTAGAGGAATTCCTGAATTGTAACATGTTTCAGATGTTTACCACCTTGGTACAGCCTGCAATCATGAGTTTGATGACAAACCTAGATCGGGACAAACTGGGATTTGAACCCTTAACCATGGGTTTCAGGCATGCCCAAGGGACACAACTCTGTACATGAAATTGTGGCCATTTGTATGAATGGACTGCCCATGGCCGACACTTTAAGATCTTACCCTGAAGACATCCAATACACAATACAAAACCATGGATATATCATGCAGTATCGAATGACGTGTTTCATGAATTATCATAATCTAGTGACCACCTAATCAACGCATGCTGACATAGAACCTTTTAGATGATTAGGTAAGGAGAAAAACACCAAGGCATAATCTGGTTCTAAAATTCATAATGTCACAAAGATAGCCTTCCACTAATGACATATGCATCAATCATTACTTTTGATATAATTTGATGACAAACGAACAGAAACTCTATCAAGGAACTAACTTTTCACCTAGCTGTTGTTTACAATCAGCAACGATTCTGGGCCAGTGGGTGAAGTATACATAAATATTACATATGTTTGACTAAAGTAAATGTCATTTTCTATAATAAAATCAATGCAAGCTTAGCCATTTCTAAATAGTTCTCAGGGAGCCAAAGTTAGGTTTGGTTGCATTTGTCAAATAGGACTTCATTATCATGTACAGTAGAGATTAATCATTATCAGGGAAAATTACTAGGTACATACAGCCAAAATTAAAGGGGTACAAAGGTTCTAGAGATTTCCTATGTGTTTGAACCTATAGGGACCCTAAATCGTTTAATTTTAACATGTGGCTTTTGACAAAGCCCCCTGTTTATTGTCAGTTCTTACTTGCGCTGTAATGAGGACGTCACACAGACATTGTACATACTCGGATAATGTTTCAGATAAAGTTGTCATCAATAAGTTAGTGACATATTTCACAATTGTTAGTGAGATGATAACACAACAACGGATTGTTCTTATGCAGTCAAAAACCCATATAATAACATGATGAGAATTTTGAACACTGCACCCAGTCAACATTTAGGGGATAACGGTACTGTGTTTGACGAATTGGGGACATATACCGATGGTTATATAGCCGCAAATTTAGTTAGATAACGTTAGATTTGCGGCTATATAACCACTGGTATACGTCCCCAATTCGTCAAACACAGTACAGTTATCCCCATTCTAATTCAACTCGTTTTACGCTGTTTTTTCGTGAAAGAAATTCATTATTTAAACCAGGTCAAAGTTCCTCTAGGTCAAAGGTTAATCATATCATTCCTTGAACTTACACCATCGCCAGAAAAAGTAGTTCCCTTTTCAAACTACACACGTTTATTATGTGCACACAGACTAAATCTGACAATGATGAATAGATCATAGTATTATAGATAAAATGGAAGGAATTATGATGAAACCGCCCTCTAGTTACAGAAACGAGCGGCCCGCTGATTCCTTAACTACGGGCCATTATCAGTTCTGTTGTCAAATGACGTCACAGCAGGTGACGTCACGCTCCATAATGACGTCATAATCTTGTTTCATGATCTAACAGTGTTGGGTCAACAGCCCGTTGCGAGTAAGTTGTTTGAACTTAAAATTAAATTTATGATACTATTTTGTCGTTTTTAACACAAATTCCACCCATTTTAGCTGGATAGGGCAGTTAATTGACCTATGGCTTCTGCAAATGACAATGTCCTGCAAAGCAGCGTTACCCCAAAAGTGTAGGGATACATTTAAAGGTTTTGGTGAATCGGTTTTCAAATTGCGACCGTATATGCTGATTATACGGTTGGAAATTTATAGCTTTGACCAATCAGAACTCGTGTTACATTCTAAGTTGAATTAGAATTAAATATAATTTGGTGAGAAAATCAATATTATTTCACATATTTAATAATAAAACAATATTGCTTCCAGATTTCTTGGATCAGGACTATGAATAGAAAAGCCATCTTGAATTATGTTGCCACTCCATCTGAATATATCTAGTACTCAACTTGTCAAGGTGGTCAGTTGAGATGGTCAGTTCATGACTGATGTTTGTCCACAAGTCACAATATATCCTACTCACAAACATATCTATAAACATATATTTACACTCTGAAATATTTGTGAAGCAAACAAAATTGACTCAAAAATATGTTTATCAATCTCTTTCCTTTTTACAGTGGCAGTGATCAATTCGCCGCACGAGTTGCACACTTGTAGGACTGCCTACCCAATTTCAGTTTACTGGCTTAAAAAATTAAATACGAAATATTTTATGAACAGTTGGCGAATTTTAAAAATAGATATATTTATGTTGTCACAAAAAGGTCTTCATAAAATATAAAAACGAAAAGGTTAACGAGTGCATTAAATTGTGGCGTGACTAGTTTAGAATTTCATTCATAAAATGTCTTTTCTTTACTGCTTTTGTTAAACCTGATAAGATCAATATAACAACGTAAATCTCAACATGAATAACATAACGGCTAATATATGTGTGTATTAACTTCTTAGTTTCCTCTAAAATTTACGAGTGTAAATACCACGTTTGGCATTTTGCCCGTTCTCCACTGCCATTGGAGTGGCGTGATCATGTTGACAAACAGCAGACTCCCTTGCCACGCATGGCGTGTTTTCACTTACCAAGCGCTGTAGCGATACCAACTACTCGACAGAACCACAAGAACACTTCACAACAACAATCACACTTCCTGCCAGTCAAGCCCATGTTGTTGGTAAACTTGAAAACATTTCTAAACCAGCACAGAGAACATGCCTAAAACCGTAGCATCCAAGGGCAACAATGTGATCCGGAAATCGTGCTTGAACGGGAGCTCCTCTGATTGGACAATGTTCCCCATGGCGCGAAATATAAACACACCAAAACCAGGAACATTCACTTCTATTTTCATTCAAAAAAATACTTTACTCAGTAAATCCGAACTAATGTAAGTATTTTGTAAAGAATTGGATAAATATCAACGTTTTCCCTAATTTATATTTTGTTTTGATTCATTAATAACACGCAACACCCATATCCATTCGATAGGAAACAGGAGCGGCTTATTTGAAGGAGTTGAATAACACGTTGTTATAAAGTGCGTTGCGGCTGTTGGGATGAGTATTATTGAAATCACTCACAGAAATGAACCACATATTTCAGGTTAAGTGGTACGCACAATTACGAACAAAATATACAATAGTTAATTATTATCAGGAGGTTCAGCCTACGAAAACAGGCGCGTAGCAAGCCATTTTTGTTCGTGTAAGCCCGATAGGTTGCAAAGCTTAATATATATTTCGATAGTATTGAGGGCTTGCCCAGCCGTTGTAGCAGCAATCATGTGTAAGCCCGGGCTTTGTTTTTATAATGGTAGGTCATGGGCGGATCCAGGATTTGTGAAAGGAGGGGGGTCAGATCGAACCCCCTGGACCCCCACCCCCTTGGCTCCGCCAACGCAAAAAAAAATCCTCAATGTGATATCTAAGTCGATCATTTTCAAACGGGGGTCCGTACCTCCAACCCCACCTCTGGATCCGCAAATGTAGCTACGTACACCCCTGGAAAACACCGTCTCCCGAGTCAGGGCCGGATACAGCATTTAGGGGACCCGTGCACACTCTTGAGAAGGGGGTGGGGGTGTCACACTTAATTTTCGCAAGAGTTTCAATGTTCATTTAATTAATAAACTTTTAGGACAAAAGGTGGATGCGCACCCCTGCACTCACAAACCCACAACCACCAATCTGACATTCAAACACGTGCAAGATAGCTGATCCTTGCCAAGGGACGCAACTCTGTTCAATGACTATAGTATCGCCTTCAATATCACCTCCGCGATCTGATGGATGGAGCGACTGCCAAGAGAACGATCTCTGGTCATACCTAGACATTTAAATGATGTGTTTTTTACTTTGCTTGGCCCTCGGTTAATTGCGGAATTATATCTTAGTGGGATAGCTATAGTACTGTAAAAGCAGTCTTAGCCCGGACCAGCACAGGTAGACACACGCACGTACGAACGTACGCACACACATCCATACGCGCATGCCCGTTACTATATTAGTGCATGCACCTTGAGCGCAACGAAAACCACGTGGCACCTGACCTCGTCCACTGGGCCACCCGTGTCCCATGAACGCATGAGGTTGATGTGGTTTAAAACTGGGTAACCCTGTACTATACACAACCCACACCAAGCGCAATCACATCGAGAAGATAAGAAACAGGGGGGCTGATTATCAGCTTATCTTCCCTGTAGTATATTCTGTACCATAAACAGGATTATAGGCACCACCTTCTTTAACCCGTCCAAGACGTCATAGGAGCCCGTGTAAGTCATCGCGAGATCAAGTTACCGTAACCCATAGGGTATATCGGACAATGCCATACGTACAACATATAGGCTAATGACGGGTGGATAATAACAGGTCAAACACCTACCCCCTGTCACGCCCCAGTTGGCGTATCCCAGATAGCAATTTGTCCGTTCGGCCAATGTTGGCCCAACGAACATTGCTATCAGGGATATAGTCGCCCTTTCGGCTCAGATATATACAAGGATATGAAGTTGTCATATTTGATCAAAACATTTGGACTCTGAAATTCTGGAAATCTCCATGTTACCATTACATTACCGAATGTTTCGAAATCTCACGCTTTTAAAAATCCCACACAAACATTTCAATTTATATGGATTAGAGATTGGACACATCTAGATTATGGATTTTGTGAACATCTCTACCCACCGATGCCATAATCAGACGAATATTTTGTCCATGAAATATAAGATGGTATATATACACGATAAAAAAATATGGTGACATCTGTTAAGGTGATTGTAGAAGCATTTGAAGATGTTTTCGCATCACTTTTGCTTTTGTTTGGCTTTGTCCGGTTTCGAAACTATTTTGTCCGGATTTTACACCTGACGAACTTTACTATCTCCAAACGCAAAAGAAGAGTACCTGCAATGAACAGTCCAGAATCAGTTAACCTGGTTTCTCAGCGAATTTCATTTGTTAATAAGGTTTGAATAAATGGGAAATGAACTTGTTTCACATAAAAGTGCCGTGGTATAATTAGATTGTGTTAAACAGAATAATTAAGTTGAGGTAAGACTGTTATAAATAATGTGGCGACGCTGAGTGCTTTACAATGACAGCTGACAGAATTGTACGATGGATAATACACAAATAATTTGTCATTTATTATTCTGAGGGAAGTGAATATGTATTCCCCGACAACGTACTGTCATGAGAGACGTGTTAAAACTGATATCCCCGAAAATATGTTATTTTTTAATAACACGGAACATGAAAAGATTTCATGACGTTTCAACTATTTTGTATGTTTCAGATCAGCACTCTGCTGAAGGCTACATCTGACGATGACAAGCCGATACCAGGATATCTGTATAAGGAGATCAGTGGTAGGCATGGTTTGATATTTTTGCTGTTTTTATGTCACCTTTAGGTCACCTTTCATTTAGGAACACAAGGTCAACCTCTTTATCATGTTTATAGTCAGATATTTTGCACCAATGTGAATCCTCAGCATGCAGATCTTTGGACACTTTAATTGGAGGCTGTGTCAGATGAACCTTGAGTCAACTTTACACACCTGATCAAATGTGAAATCACCAAAATGTGTTCTTGAGCCAGTTACATGTCAGAATTCAAAAGATTGATATTCACATTTCATTTAACGATCCCCCCCTTGACATGGACAGTTTGAACTTAGAAAAAAATAAAAGCAAAAAAAGAAGGAAAAAAGACTCCAACAGAATGCATATATACTATTGATAGTACACCTTTTTAGGTTTAGATGCCAAAACAAGAATATGTGCAACATATTAGCAGCAATGTCATAGCAAACTATATTCTTCACACTCAAAGTACCCCTGTGGTATACATTTTCAAGAAATGTATGTCTGAATGTTATGCACAGTCTTACTGAGAATTCAAAAGTTTGCTGCTGATCACCTCTTCAAGTTATGATAAGACAGTAGAACCTGATTATTTGTCTTCTTATTTATATCAACATGGTGGGTGGTCATGATGATGGTTTCCTCTTGACATGCTGGAACTTTTATCCATGTGACACAAATGATATCTAGGAGTGAGTTAAGTAACTGATCACAACACTGTATGTTATAGAGAGGGAACAACTAAGTTGTAAAACAGAAGTGATATTGAAAGAGAGGGTACAATTGGGTAAAGCTAATATATAGTTATGGTTTCAAGTGAAAAGCTATTTGACAACAGTAAGCAGTCAATGTAAGAGTCTTCACATGCTTTCCAATGTGTTCATGGTGGTGGGGTAGCCTAATGGTTAAAGCGCCCTGGGTTCGAGTTCCGACATGGGTACAGTGTGAGAAGCCCATTTCTGGTGTCCCATGTCGTCATATTGCTGGAATAATGCTAAAAGTAGCATAAAGCTCTCTCACTCACTCTAATGTGTCCAGGGGTTGTACTCAATGTTTGTGCTTCATGTCAGGGATCAGCCATGAGTCTATGGGCTACTGTGAGAGTCTGCTGGAGTACCTGGTCGACCGGCTGGAGAAGAATTCCTACCATGTGAAACTGAAGGTAATCCTCAGTATATTGTACAATGCTAATTACAATTCCATGCCTGCTGGAGACTGCTCATTGTTTGTGTTGGTCTGAAGATAACAGGTTTGAATTGACAAGTGACACTTTCATCAGATTGTTTCATCACAATTTTAAATAATTTAAATAGTATGTTTTTTTAGGTCATAGTACGTGGGTTATCCATTCAGCAATACCACTACAATTCACTGTGCAGAGTTGCATCCCTTGAGCAAACCAAAATCTGTTGTGTGTTCGAATTCCACTATACTCACTCACTTATTTTAGGATAAGAGGAAAAGTCCAGTGACATGATAAGCCTACATATGCAGATTGAATATTTCTCGCAGAGTAAGACAACCTGAGCCGAAATAACTTATGGGTTATCAGCTATGGTCGGTGTTTAAACCAAACTCACTCACTCTTTAGTTCACCTGATTCGAATAAATTAAGTTTTTTGGTTGTCTAATTTGTTAATGATATATCTCTCACTGACATCACATTGTTTAATCTTTTCCTTTCACATCGGGGAGGTGGGGTATCCTGGTAGTTAAAGCGTCACACTGAAGACCCGGGCTTGATTCTCCACATGAGTACAATGTGTGGTAAAACCCATTTTCTGGTGTCCCCGCTGTGATATTGCTGTAATATTGCTAAAAGCGACGTACAACTATACTCACTCACTCCTTTCACACCAAAAGACATACAAATGACCATATAAGTATATCTTCATTCTTCTTTACCCCTTCTGTTATGTTTGTTGTTGTTTTTGTTTAACATTTAATGCTGCCCTCAGCAATATTCCAGCTAAGTAAAGGCGGTCTGTAAATAATTGTATCCGTAGACCCATTAGCATCATCTCAAGTCCAGTTATTATGCTGAAAATAGTTTTCCAGTCAAATTAGATACTGGCATCAGTTCCCAAATGATTCTGAAGTTGTGAACATGGTGCATGGGTATTAATCATAACTTAGTACTGAACGTTTGTTTGTGATTCCTTGATATTTCATTATTTTACCCAACACTAAGGATTATTGGACAACTAGTGGAAAGATCCTGTCAATAAATTTATATATGTATATTTGTATACATGAGTTCCGTGGCAATTTATAATGCTGTTCATGAGACAACTGCTCATGCTGTAGATTACTGGATTATCTGGTTCCGACTCAGTTATCCTTATAGCTGAAATACTACTGAGTGCCATGTAAAACTAAACTCACTCACTCATGAGGCAACACCTGCAAACAATCAAATTCAGAACCCACCAGGACAATAACAATATATCTGCAGAATTGATATTTGCTACATAGATGATCAAGGATTATCAAGGTCCACTTTCAAACACTGTTCTCAGATCTTCAGTAAGAGCTAAATGAAGAACCCCCCAAAATTGTATGACAAATATAACATATACACAGGTTATTACACAGGTGTGTTATATGTACTCAGGGTGAAGGTCATGAATCTTCTGTAGGTGCTGAAGGTGATGAGGTACACAGTAGACAATGGCCACCCCAACTTTAAGGCAGGTCTGATGAGATCAGCTCGGGGCGTGAGAGCTGCCACAAGTGAGTACACAGGGTACCAGGGATAATTATTGTGGAGGTTGATAATATGCCTTGTTTCGATCACCTTTACTGTCATGTGTGTTTGAGCTAAAAATTACATTTTGATGACATATAAGACTGACACTTTGTATGAATGAATTTCAATGAAAACACTGCTTACATAATGTGATCCAATTCAAATATGGCTGTTGCAGTAGCCATATTGACATTGAAATACAATGTACCATTTTACTCTTTTAGCATGTTTATCAGTCATTTTTTATTGTGAAATGTATTATTCACTATTTTGTAAATATGTCATATGCCTTATATTTATGATATTAATAAATGTTCTATCTTTCCATATTTTAACTTTTGAGGCAGTGTATAACTTGTATATGTACCAAATGTTGGCTGTACAGTCTCAGGCCTGAAGCGGTGGATATTTGTGATGTAATAAATCTGTAGAGAACAGATATAATGGTACATAATCATATGTATACAAAGCTGGCTCACAGAAGAAAACGATATAAGACATTATGAATGTTGATCCCATCTGTAAAACTTGTCAACATGCCAGTATTCTAATTGTTTCAGAATATGGTGGACCACCCGATCCACTGCATGGCAATATACCTTACATCATGGTCAGGAAAGTAGCTCAGGTGGGTATTTTACCTCGTCCTATGACAGTGAGTGAGAGACAGGTTTAACTGGGTGTCTGGGTGTACTGTCAGCAATCATTCATGTTATTGGATACAATGACATAATCAGCCTGATGTAAAATGATCCAGGTTCTATCTGTTCAGACATGACAGCCATTGTGCCATAGGATCCCCAGTTTTCACTCATCTTGAGCATGATGTACTATTGGTATACCCTGTACTTCTCACATAGGTTCTACAATTTGTGTAATTCCTGTAAATATAAAGACACCATGATTGACCAAACTTGTGGGCTAAAAATCATGATAGATGGTTTTAGTCATAATCTTTCTGATTTTAGTTTTATATTTGTAGACCAGGTGTCTTTTAATTTATAGTAGTAACCATGGTTACTTGTCTGTGCATTTCCCCAACAGGAACTTTGTGAAGTTTTGTTTGAGGTGGAGGAATCAACCAACCCAAGAACAGGGGAGACAACTCCAGCAAGACCACCTCCCAAGGCTATGAGTATGACTTTGTCATGCTTCTAAAGTTCTAAACCTATACATTTTAAAATGGTGTAAATCTGAAATATTACACGTTTAAGTTTATAAGAATTAGTTTTATAATCCAGATAAAATGTATAAAGAGAAAGAATCAGTATCGATAAATCCTGTGTAATGATGTTGCTATCAATTCATTATAGGTGGAAATTATTTACTTTGGTTGTTGTTGGAAAAATGGGCCATAACTCTCCGAGTTATGATATGTCTGTTCAAGCAGGTTTGTACAGTAATACTCTTTGGTTGCAGTGGGACTAGGACCTTCATCCAATTCAGGCAAAATGGAAGGGTTTGGGAACTCCCCAAGGAATGAACAAAGTAAGATTAAGATATTGGTTTTGTTTTAAACTAACAGAGTTAACGCTTATACAGCAAGATATATGAAGTTCTGATGTACTTTACTTATTAAAATTAACACATTTGAACAAAGCCTGAGAAAGCTATAGTTAAATATTTTTGCACGATGTGAAATGGTGGAATTTTGGAAATATTTTTCAGCTAACTGAATATTTGGTAATTACAATGCAACATTGTAATAACATAGTCTTGAGTTTGAATCCTCATTCACAGTGTCATACCTGGATATAAGTCACTGGTTACTGGTCTATAGTCAAAACTAACTGTTTGTTTTCAACATGTTTCATTATAGTATCCCATCGGAATAATTCCTTCACTTAAGTTGACTTTAATGAATAGACTGCATCATGAGTAACAAACTGGATATTGTAAATATGATGAAAGTTCAGTTTCCAATGATTAAAGTGATGCTGTATATTTTGTAATCATTTTCAAAGCTATTGCATGGAAAGTGAGAAACACAACAGGTATGGATTTCAATGAGGGCCTCTTTGTCTCTTCTATAAATGTGGTTCTACTGCTTTTGTCTTTGTCAAATATATATGCATGGCCAGGAGGTGGCAGCTTCTGTTTTGTGAAGTATTTGTTGGGTCCTCTCAGACTATATTTTATGGAGACATTAACAAGTGGGGAAATTGTTACTTTCTGGAAAATCATATGCATATTATTAATTTATTATATTTGTTTTCAATTCAAGAATTTCAGTTTACACCAATTGGGTTACGAATTTTACAGAATTTTAATACCACTGACTACATATTTTATAGTGTTTAATGCACGCCTTTACATCCAGCGAAGCCTGTGATGATGATATAGCAAGCATCGCTAAGTGTTGCTGTACCTGTATATTCTAGCAGTAGTATAAGGCGGGGGCGATGGGGTAGCATAGTGGTTAAAGCATTGGCTCATCATCCTGAAGACCTGGGTTCGAATCCCCACATAAGTACAATGTATGAAGCCCATTTCTGGTGTCCCCCACCGTGATATTGCTGGAATGTTGCTAAAAGCCTGTAACACCATACTCACTCACTCACTCACTGTAGTTAAAGGCTAGTGGACACTGTTCACCTGGTTTGGATCCCCAGCAAGCTGGGCTTGTGGATTGGGTAGTCCGACTTGGTGACTTGGTTCAAAGGTCCTATTATACATGGCCATCATGGATCTGTACTGGTAATACTATAGTGGTAATGTTGCAGAGTGGTGCAGTATTAACCCTCTGTCATGGTATTGCCTAACTGCATCAGGTGGTCTGATCATGGATCTGTACTGGTAATACTATAGTGGTAATGTTGCAGAGTGGTGCAGTATTAACCCTCTGTCATGGTCAGGTGGTCTGATCATGGATCTAACTGCATCAGGTGGTCTGATCATGGATCTGTACTGGTAATACTATAGTGGTAATGTTGCAGAGTGGTGCAGTATTAACCCTCTGTCATGGTATCATGCCTAACTGCATCAGGTGGTCTGATCATGGATCTGTACTGGTAATACTATAGTGGTAATGTTGCAGTGTGGTGCAGTATTAACCCTCTGTCATGGTATCACCTAACTGCATCAGGTGGTCTGATCATGGATCTGTACTGGTAATACTATAGTGGTAATGTTGCAGTGTGGTGCAGGTGGTATCACAGTATTAACCCTCTGTCATGGTATCTCTGTCATGGTATCACCTAACTGCATCAGGTGGTCTGATCATGGATCTGTACTAGTAATACTATAGTGGTAATGTTGCAGTGTGGTGCAGTATTAACCCTCTGTCATGGTATCACCTAACTGCATCAGGTGGTCTGATCATGGATCTGTACTAGTAATACTATAGTGGTAATGTTGCAGCGTGGTGCAGTATTAACCCTCTGTCATGGTATCACCAAACTGCATCAGGTGGTCTGATCATGGATCTGTACTGGTAATATACTAGCCACATAAAGAAACTGTGCATTGTCAAAATATTATCCCAGTTGATAAGTACGATAACAATGTCAAAGGTGCATATAAACTTTAATGGAGGGATCATGAGACCATAACAAGTTGGGAGAATTTCAATTGAAAAGTCAATCACAATGACGTCACGAGTCCACAAGCGGGACAGGGGTCAAACGACCATGTCACAAGCTCAATAACGGGTATGTCCACCATCGGCATTGAGAACAGCAGTGCATCGACGACGCATAGAGCCTATCAAATGTGCAAGGAAGGCTTGTGGGATGTCACGCCAGATTCTCTCAAGTTCTGTTGCAAGGTCAAGGACGTTATCTGGCGGATGAGGAAGACGGCGTAGAAGTCGATCCATCTCGTCCCAAACATGCTGTATCGGGGAGAGATCCGGTGAATTTGCAGGCCAAGGCGGTAAGTCAACGTTGTGGTGTTGCAAGAAATCCATAGCAACCCTTGCCGTATGAGGGCGGGCATTGTCCTGTTGGAATGTTAACCCAGGGCCATGACGTTGCAGAAAAGGAATTGCCACAGGTCGAAGAATCTGATCCCTGTAGCCCACACCAGTTAAGTTGCCCTGAACAATCACCAAAGGAGTTCTTTGGCGTGCTGTTATTGCACCCCAAATCATCACGGAACCACTACCAAAGCAATTCCTCTCCAAGACACAGGCCTGTGCATAACGTTCTCCCACGCGTCTATAGGCACGTTGACGTCCATCACTATGGGAAATGTTAAACCTGGGCTCATCTGTAGAAACAACATTTCTCCACCAAAACAAGGGTCTGGCGGACATGATTTCGCACCACATTCGGGCGAGCTTGTCGATGACGCTGTGTCAGGATAGGCGTATGGCGGGACGTCGTGGTCTGATCCCGTGATGACGTAAACGTTGTCGAACTGTGTTGGGGTGAATACGGCAAAGTCCTGGGATGGTTTTGGGCAGTCATCACTGCAGTCTGAAACCTGTGGCGAAGATGGGTCACCCTTATCCATATGTCCTGTCTTGGCGTTGTTACACGTGGACGTCCAGAACGTGGCCGATCGATGACGTCATTTGTGTTCTGGTAGCGTCTCACCAGTGCAGAAATTGTGTTCCGGTGGCAGTGGAAATGTGCAGCCACTTGTCGTTGAGACATTCCCCCACGGACCACCCCAATGGCCTCATGAATTTGTGCAGACGTGAGCTTTGGCATGCTATGCGTTTCAATAGCCGTTTAATTTTTTGAACAATCGCAAGGGCAGGGGATGAGCTTTCCAAAGTGACAGTATTGTGTGGCATTCATTTGCTCTGTTTCTCTTTCCCGGAATGCACGTGCAACAACGTATTGCACGTCTCAAGGACGAACCCACTGACGTCACGGAACGTGGCACACGCATGCATGTTGGATACATGTCACTAATCTCTGAGTTTAAATCCTTATGTGTCTACACAGGTTTGATAAATTTAGATTTTAAATGTTTGTATGCACAGTTTCTTTATGTGCCTAGTATACTATAGCGGTAATGTTGCAGAGTGGTGCAGTATTAACCCTCTGTCATGGTATCACCTAACTGCATCAGGCGGTCTGACTTAGAGACTTGCTTCATCATGTTCATCACCAGCTCATAATATCAGTCACTGGTCCAAACTGATGTGATGTTGCTGAATGGTTGTTTGCAGATTTACACACAAACATACACCCCCAAAATACAGTCACATGTCACTATAAATGAGACCTGTGAAAATCTGGGTTAGAATTGGTCTTCAATAACCCATGCTTGTCGTAAGAGGCGACTAATGGGATCAGGTGGTCAGACTCGCCGACTTGGTTGGCACATGTCATTGTATCCCAATTACGTAGATCGATGCTCATGATGTTGATCACTGTATTGTCTGGTCCAGATTCGATTGTTTACAGACTGTTGCCATATAGCTGCAATATTGCTGAGTGCAGCTTTAAACAACAACCCAACCAACCAACCTTATGAATGATGTATAATTTTGCTTAGAATCCCTGGGTGACACAATCATCAATGGCATCAGCAAGATAGCTGAGAAGATGGCGGAGACAGATTCAGATCGACAGAGGGCAGTACTTGCCAGTCTGGATGGAGGCAGTGGGCAGTACCAGCCTCCAGTCATCATCAGCCTGGAGCCAATCACAACAGACGACACAGTACCTCAACCAATCATATCACCTGTAAGGAAAAGTAAGTCTGACTTCAAAAGTACCATTGTTACCATATTTTTCATAATTTGCACCCAGGTCCAGTAAATGCTGCCTGAACAACTTCCAGACTGTGAATAATCTTTACAAGTTGCCCTGAACAAGACTGAACAATAACATGACAGTTCATATTCTCTTGTGTGTATTACAGACTTCTGCTTCCATAAATGGTAGCATGGAAGGGATGCATAACTCTTATGGAAACGGTTTTACTATTATCGACATCACATGGTGTCTGACAATAAATCTACTGTTTATGGGTTTATAAGTGCCCCCATTTGTCAATTGAAGCTATAGAAGACAATTTTTTTACTCAAATTCCAGGTATTTCTTAGGTGTGGGGATGTGTTAATTAGTTTGTGAAATTCCGAAAATATGGTATCTTAAAACCATTTTACAGATCATTTATAAACAATTTACCATGAAAACTGTACAACTGTTTCAACACAGGCATATTATGTTGCAATAATTCCAAGTTTTGTTCATGAGACAATAAAGGTGTGACTGGCTGTGCAGTTATCAGATTGTACCCTCGCAGTGAAAGAGTAAAGTAAATCAGGGATGTTATGTCAAGGGCTTATCTGGACTAAGAGCAGGAATATGTTTGAATGTGGCTGCATAGTTATGTCCCTTGTATGTATTGATTAGTTCCTGTCTGTAATCTCAGGGCTCCAGGTTTACCAGGTCGTATGGTGTATATTTCATTGTGTCAAATGTTGTATTTGGTTTTGATTCAAGTTCATTTGATTATTATCTTTAATATGTGTATACAACACAGAAAGATAAGACTACTACTATATCTCTCCAGCACCCCCCAAGCATGTCCCAGGGAAAGCAGGAGGGGGTTGGGATGATGACCCACCCACACCATCACGGGGCTCTGACAAGAAACACTCTAACAGTGGAGGCAGCTCCGATCTAGCTGACAGGTTAGTCATAACATTATCTTCCCCTGGTGTATGTGTACAGGTGACATGCTTGTGATGCACAGATAATGCACAGGTAACACACAGGAGCTGCACAGGTAACATACAGATAATGCACAGGTAACACAGGAGCTGCACAGGTAACATACAGATAAATAGAGGTAAGACAGATAATACACAGGAGCTGCACAGGTAACATACAGATAATGCACAGGTAACACAGGAGCTGCACAGGTAACATACAGATAAATAGAGGTAAGACAGATAATACACAGTTAACACACAGGAGCTGCACAGGTAAGATACAGATAATGCACAGGTAACACAGGAGCTGCACAGGTAACATATAGATAAATACAGGTAAGACACAGATAATGCACAGGTAACACACAGGAGCTGCACAGGTAACATACAGATAATGCACAGGTAACACAGGAGCTGCACAGGTAACATATAGATAAATACAGGTAAGACACAGATAATGCACAGGTAACACACAGGAGCTGCACAGGTAACATACAGATAATGCACAGGTAACACACAGGAGCTGCACAGGTAACATACAGATAATGCACAGGCAACAGGAGCTGCACAGGTAACATACAGATAATGCACAGGTAACACAGGAGCTGCACAGGTAACATACAGATAAATAAAGGTAAGACAGATAATGCACAGTTAACACAGGAGCTGCACAGGTAACATACATGTAACACACAGGTAACATACATATAACATACATATAACATACAGGTAATCCACAGTTGATGCATAGGTAATCAATATGTGTTGTTATGAAATATCTGATTTCTGTGGCTACAGTGCTTCTTTGAATCAGCCAGATATAACTGATGTTTCCTTTAATGTAAACCATGAGGTGACATGAATCCAGTCTTCATTACATTGTGGGGATCACACAACAGAATAATACTGGCCATCACATGGTCACAGTAACAGCTAAGTTTGAAGGTACTAAGATGAATTACCACTAATACAGATGCACTGAATCAGTGATAGCTCGGATGATTGTTCACTGCATGGATGCTTTGGTTCATACCACGATGTAGCTGTCACATTGCACGCATACCAGTTTCCACCAGCAAGTTAGGAGTACTGGGGGCTTTTTAAGTGGACATTAGCTGCCTCCAAATATTGTAAAGGGCATGGGCATCTCAGTCATGTGAGACGGTGCAACTCGCTGTGCAGAGTTATTTCCCTTGGCACACCTGAAACTCACTGTGCAGAGTTATTTCCCTTGGCACACCTGAAACTCACTGTGCAGAGTTATTTCCCTTGGCACACCTGACACCTCTGACCATTATGTTTCTTGGTTTCCCACCACCATACCCATGGTTGTAGGTTTCACCAAAGTGGTGAACACATACAACCCTCATCACTTCAGGCTTTGCTACCACATCAAGCTGACACACCATGGTGTATCTGGAGTACTGTTCTGTGCAGTGTTGAACCCACTCACTCAATCTCTTCATGTTTCATATTTCCAAATGATGAGATTACTGGTTGTTTATGAGATAAACTGCCTCTTGTTTTTCCAAAGTGACTGACTCTCTACAAAACTCTCTTCTGTTTTAGACTCGAGTCTGTGACGCTAGCCGATTGGAGCACAGAGGAAAACCTTGTGACATCCATCGTGGATGATCCAAGTCGTCTGCTCCTCTCCCAGTCCCAGTTGGCAGCATTCCAAAGACGATGTTCTGGGCTAAATTCTGAGAAGGTGCTGGATTTCATCATCCAGAGACTAACATCTGACCAGGAACCTGTTGTAATGGTAGGGGCTCAACATCAGTTGTACTGGCAAAGGGAATGTTGTGTGTTCAAAGTAATACTATAGTTTGGCATGAAATGCATGTGGACCCGTTTTTTTTGTAAATATCTCTTCAGCCAATGACCCAATCGATCTCAAACTGTGCAAGTGGATGTTTTGTCAGACAACCTAATCACATTGTAAATCATCGATTTTATGCATTTGTATTAAAGAATCTGTCTATGTAACTGTCAACAAAATAAACAGCAGAACGCAAACTGCTTGCAGAGGGAGAGAGCCAATGACCTGTAACAGCAGCAGTGTTGGGTCATAAAGGTCAACGTTAGTCAATGTAGGTCAGCTATGCACGTGACAGGTATGAAGAGGTGTTCATTCCTAGCAAATAGCCGGCGAATGACATCTCTGATGACCCTGATGTCAAAAGAATCTAACTTTGGATGCCTACCTTTTTTTTGCCAAAAATATTTCATGCCAAGAGCAAAAGTTGTACGTTTCATGTAATCCGACACCTTATAAATCGGTTTGCTACGTTTGCTCTTGCTACGTTTGCTCTCTTTTTAAAAAATAAAAACACATTTCTTATTAAACGTTTAGCATCATCTGAATAAGCTTTCATGATGACAGCTAGAAGTAGTCAATGTGAATGATCCAAACGGTCTATCACTGTGCAGTGCACAGGTAACTATCATGAACTGCACATGCATTTACCTTTATGACCCAACACTGCCGCTGTTACAGGTCATTGGCTCCCTCCCTCTGCAAGCAGTCTGCGGTGTGCTGTTTATTTTGTTGACAGTTACATAGACAGATTCTTTAATACAAATGCATAAAATCGGTGATTTACAATGTGATTAGGTTGTCTGACAAAACATCCACTTGCACAGTTTGAGATCGATTGGGTCATTGGATGAAGAGATATTTACAAAAAAACGGGTCCACATGCATTTCATGCCAAACTATAGTTGACTAGTTACTGCCAAAGTCATTTCCCCCCTTGTGACAATAGTTGTGACAAACAGTATTAGGATTTAGGATTATTTTAGCAGAACTATAATACAACTGAATATTTCTGAATATAACTATACATTTCTTTTATTACTTTATTAATTTAGATGTTGACAAAATATAATGATTGTTCAAAAGGAGAGATGAATTAAGAGCATAGCCACATTACGTTGCTTTATGAAAGTTGCTGGTATGTTTCAACCCTTGAAAAAGATTTTGCCAAATGATAGATTTTGCATATGTGACCTAATGTCTTTGGGACATTTTAATGATAAGTCAGGTTGTCTGTACTTTGATTTTGATGTCACCAACTAAAGGATTCTCAGGATAGTGAAGTTACATCACATACACAGCGTAGAGAAATACATGGAAATGTTTAGAGACCATCGCATATACTTAGTGTGAGGGATTATTGTGACATAATTAAGATCCAGTTTTAACAAAAAGAACACTACCAAACGCTAGCTTCCAGGATTATTTGCCTCAGCTGTACCTGTGTTTGCGTCAGCCTTCAGCTGTGCATCAAGATAATGGATTCTGGGATAACGATGCTTGACCTAGTTTTGTTCTTACTGTTTTAGAAAAGTATGCTTCTTCTTGAGACCTACTTGAGGTCAGACCTAGTCAACCTTGAATACTTGGTCTCCACCAGTGAACAAAGTCTACTGGCAGTCCATGGACACTGGACTGGCCCCCCTCGCTCCAAGGCCAGGAAGGTAGGTCAAGGTCCTTGTAAGATCAACTGACCATCCAGTTATTATAGTGGATCATGCTGATCCTTGTATCTTATAATTAAGACATATGAAGTAGAAAGTAATTACCTGTAATGAATTAGTAATTAAATATTAGCTATTTTTCAAATATAAGTTGTGTTTTGTGATGGTTAACTATTTTTTCCTTAGATAATCCGTATCCTTGAGAAACTGACCTCTCACACCAGCATCCTGCCCTTGAGCAATGGGCAAATCATCAACACAGACACAGATAAACTTGAAATCTCGCCATGTCCGCCAGACCCTACGGCATTAGAGGGAGGCAACTCTGATGACCTTGGGCTACTGTCAACTCCGCTGGTTTCTAATGACCTTGAAGTAACACAAGATGCCCTGGATAATACTGATAGCATATCATGACATAGGTCTCTATTTTTCCTGGAATCAAAATGAAATAATTACATTGATGAGACAGCTACTTTTGACACAAGAATAGGGACTTTATATCTGATATATCCTAGTTGTATGGTGGTGTTAAAGTGGTTGTTGGCACTGCAATTCATGGAATGTCTCCTAGTCAAGCCAGGACCTCCATTCATGTGTTTCAACATTTGTCAGATCATGATCCATGGTCTGTCAGGATGCTACTGTATTTGTGGGTTAAATCGATGTGGTATATTTCCAAGGACCTGTGTCACATTTGTCCTGATTGTGATCATCGGTCTGTCAACTCTACACCTGTGCTTATGGGTTCACCAAACAGGTAGACATCCAAGACCTGCATCACTTTTCCCCAACATTAAGTTATCATCCCATGACATAACAACTGACATACTGTTTATAGTGGATGTGATGCCCACTCTGTATCTTGCTTGACTTTTACCAGGGATACATAGGGATCAGTAGCTAAAACATTTGCTTTAAATGCTGGAATATTGCTATAAGTGGCGTAAAACAATACTCACTCACTCCCAGGGACACATGCCCTAATAACTTGAACAAGGACAGGCAACTTCCTTATGTAATCATGACAGTCTTGACTTTATGTCCGATGTGAAGAGCCATGTAGATAGGTTGACCTGGGCATGTTCTGAATGTGCTTACTTCATGTTGTATTATTCATTGTGAACAAGTCCACTCTACTCAACTTGACTGACAGGAAAGTTGCTGCTAAACTGTTATATACAAACCAGAATTGAATTCATCCATGACATCTCAAATCAAAAGGCATTGAAAAATAGTGCATGTTGTTTCCCTGTCTGCAGGGGTGAAACAAGTACTGGCTAGCATGGCTGGTTTTGGTTTGTTGATTAACACTGCACTCAGCAATATTACAACTCTATCGCAGCAACCTGTAAATAAACGAGTCTGGACCAGACAATCCGGTGATCAACAGCAGGAGCATTGATCTACGCAATTGGGATATGATGACATGTGTCAACCAAGTCAGTGATTCTGAACACCCGATCCTGTTAGTCGCCTCTTACGACAAGCATGGGTTACTGAAGATCAGTCTGGCCAGCATGGGGTCAGTATATTAGGCCTGAGTGGGGTATCCTTGTTAAAATATGATGTAGCTCAGTTGACTAGAACCATAAACCAGTATAAGTCCAGCCTACTGCCAGAAGCCAAACACACATGCAAGGACAGACATTGCTTTATGAGTGTAATAATCTCCAACTCACTTTCAAACATAATTCACTTCACCTCAAGTAAGAAACATCACAATTTATCATTCTTGGAGGTTGGAATCTTCGTAAAAGAAGTAGTTTTTCCAACTAGAACAAATTTTGGCGTGTTAGTGAAGAGATGGTTGTTACATTTTTCTGGAAAATATTTGTATTTGAATTTGTGTTAGCCTTTGCTGGACGACTTTTAATGTTCATGAATAATAATGAGATAGCTGATCACATGGTGGTAATTCCCTAAAACCTTTGTGATAGCTTCAGTATACTAAGTCAGTGTAAGGTACATTCAAACACTGCTGCTCTGTTGTAGGACACCATTTGATCATGTTGAGAACATTTTATGCTCATTAATATTTTGTAGACACTCTAATGTGTGCTGCATGTGTATTTAATGTAAAACATCATATCTAAGTGTTTAAATGAGATAGAGAACTTGTGTATTTGTGGGTACAGGTCCTGCTGTTCACAAAAACAAGCTTGGCTTCCTTGTCAATGTTACGCTACATTCCTACATCACCTGTCAGTACTAATAGATTCCTTGCATTAAAATAATAGTCAGTCTTAGGGAATAAGTGATGTTAAAGTAAAGTGAGCGGTGTCTTATGCATTGACTTTGAAGCATTGTGTACAGTAATGGCCACAAGGTTGTGTCACATGCTGCACGAGAAACATTGTCAATCTAATCGGTGGACTTTTGATCTGTAGAGGCGAAAACATACTGAAAACAAGAGTGACTCGACTATTGGTGCAGTTAAAATGGAAGCTGTGTGAACCCTTGCACTCAGACTTTAGTTTTGTTCCGAGTAATCGGGGCCAGATCTGCCAGTGGTCCTAGCACTCACAGAGTGTATCCATGTATTCAGAGATGATGTAGTACTGATGATGGCAAAGTTTTGCTTCACATTGTATTGTGTTCATGTACATCCCAGCACTACTCTAATTGATCCTCTGCCTGCTGGCTGGTGTCACCCATCATACTGACTCTCATCATTAGGTGGATATATATCGTGAGTGACTGAGGAGTCAGAACTGTTGTTTTGTTAGAGTTTGTTCATGGTTTGGCCTGACAAAGCTGTTTTCTTTTCTCTTGTTTAAATATGTTCGATTGCATGGCATCAGGAATCTTTGTGTTGTGGAAGAAGAACATAGTTGTCTCCAGTAGTGAAATCTGTAGCGGCCATTTTGCAGCAATTCATAAAAGTTCAGTAGAATGGGGCATGAACTGCACTTGACAAAACTATTAATAACCTTCCCCACATTCTCTGTAGAGACACAATACACAATGTACATAATGTAGTTTGTACATTCATATCCATATTGGATAGCCCTTACTTCAGAATCTTGAAAATAGAGAGCCCGTCACAGGGGTTTATCATGACGCAAACAGGGATCATAACATGAAACTCTTTAGCAAGAGTGTTGGTGGGATAGCATAGTGGTTAAAGTGTCCGATCTTCACACTGAAGACCCGGGTTCGATTCCCCACATGGGTACAATGTGTGAACCCAATTCTGGTGTCCCCCCGCCAAGATATTGCAGGAATATTGCTAAAAGCGGCGTAAAACTAAACCCACTCACTCACTTTGGCAGGAGGATGTTTTACCATCATGTCCTACATATCTGGATGTAAATGTTGTGTTATAGAGAAGCTTCTGTGTTTCTACTTTTAAAGTATTATATTGTCAACATTTATAATAAAGTGTATCTGTGATATTGCAATGTAAAGTCTTGTGTTGTTAATTGTCTGTTTATTACAAACAGTATGTGTTGAATTAATGTAGTTCAATGTATAATTGGGGTCGATGGGGTTCACGAGATAATGATAGAGTAGAAGAGGGGATCACCGAAATTTATCACTACTATATTTGGGGTTGGGCATAAATGTTACATGTATTGTCAGAGTGGGGGATCGCATGAAAACAAAGTACATAACATGAAACGGGATGGATGGGGCGCGGTGGGCTTTCTGAAGCTGGCTAAGGCCAGGCTAGTGATCCAGCGAGGTTGAGGTGTCGGATCGAGCCCACCTGTGACTGGGTGTAAAACCTTGGAGTCAACTTTGTGTGCAGACTCTTTCAGTGTTGTCACAACCCCTAGTGTACAGTACACAACCCTGTGCACTTAAAAGAACCCACCGAATCCGTTGGTATTTGACCAGATGGTGGCCACATGAATACGCGTGCAAACACCTATTTACTTGTGGGTACAGCAACGCAGTGAACATGGACAAAGTACTGTGACTATGTGTCCCAGTCCTACCAGCTGTGAATGGGTACCTCGTTAGGATGAGAAAGACCAATGACTCGGTGCACCTAGTGGCTGCAAGAGTTGTATACTCCCCAGGGAGTTGAGATTGATAATGCGATGTGCCGTTGAGATTGACATCCAATGATCGAGGGAAAAATACCAGCGCCTTGAGCATGCACTGCACTGGATGCGTGGATATGTGGGCCTATATAATGTATGTCTCTGAAATATGATACAGTATTAAGACCAATTCCTCTGATGCACCTTCCTTCCCTATAATAAATGAAAAGTACTTCTAATCTTTAGTGAGTGAATACGGTTTTACAGCAATGTTTGCATTATTCCGAGCAGTATATTGGTGGGGCACCTGGGTAATCTGTGTGACAAGTGAGTGGTTTAACAACTAAACTACCCTCAAATAATGCATTTCAGCTCTTGTATAGTGTATATGATACTGAGACCTCTTATGACCTCTCAGGCGTGGAGTAGCCTAGTGGTTAAAGTGTTCGCTTCGTCATGCCAAAGACCAGGGATCGATTCCCCACATGGGTACAATGTGTGAAGCCCATTTCTGGTGTTCCCCACCGTGATATTGCTGGAATATTGCTAAAAGCGTAAACCATACTCACTCACTCACCTCACCTCACCTTATGTCTGATAGCATTAATCTGATAAATGTCATGGGTACAATGGCACACAATCAGCCACCATTGGCTTTAACAAGAAGCAAGAGAAATGGAGACCTATCTTGCCTTGAATCCCAACTGGAGGAGGAGAATCAGGGAGGATCATTCCACTGAGGCTGTGACCATGACCTTTGAAGTGCTCACATCATCACCACCACACAAACTCACAGTATCGAAAGTGGGTGGGAGGGGTCCTAGTGGTTAAAGCATGCTTGTCATGCCTAAAACCCAGGTTCGATTCCCACATGGGTACAATATGTGAAGCCCATTCCTGGTAGTCCCTAGTATTGTTGGAATATTGCTAAAAGATAAATACATACTCACTCGACCACAGGTGTGCTGGTATAGGATACATAGCTGTGATGATACCATCAATAATAACAATACTGTAACTCAACCCCTGACTCTTGTATCCTTGAGAACTGCAATATTGATCGTGCTTGTCAGTATTTTAGAGAGATACACTAAGCCCCAATTTCTGGATTTTGATAGATACCTGATCTTGTAAAGTGACTTGTGAGCACCCATGACAGAAGAATACTTGTTGTCAATGTCAATAATTTGTCTGGTCATCCATCTTGAAAATAGAATATTCAACATAACCTAAAAATGATCACAGTTTAATTATCTGTAATAATGATGAAAAGTAATGCATGACATAGAATGTACTCTCAATCCAGTGACCATAATATTATACAGAAAAACCTTGGTTGTCCCCAAACCTTGTTAATCCAGAAACCTTGTTAGTCTGGAGACCTTGCCTTAATTCTAAAATGTCTAACCATAATCAAGAGGTCAGTGTATCCTGGATTTGTCAATATGGACAATTTTGAATTTTCTATACAAGGGGAATTCCATTGTGACTTATTGAAGTCACATGTACCTAATAGTTTCCAGTCTTTAGGAATCCAAAAATGGCTTCCTTTATTCCAGGCAGTTCAATAGAGAGCACAACCATGAGTAAAACAGGGTTTCCGTATCTAATACTGTAAGAAGGGACTGTAAAATCACAATGATCAAACAAATCATGGCAATAATATCTCATGTATGATCATTAAATATCATGATCATAATTACTTTAATTTTGCTTTATAATTGAGAATTCCAAAGTGAGTCAAGCATGAATGGCAATAAACACTTGACTTCCCAAAGATGCCTCACCTCTAATATATTTGCAGTTAGTAAAAAGTATTGAGTTACAGAAAATTATCCACAATATCTGACATATTGAATAAATTGTTTTCTACCATTACTCAGCAATAATGATGTATCACGACATTAGAGTCTGAGGTTGGAATATGGTATAGTAACATTCAATATGGTTCTCCCTGATAGTTTGATTTTCTTTACCCTGCATTGACATTTAATGAGCACTCACCCACACCTTTATGAAATGTTTCTCTAAACCCTCTGAGTGGATAATATTAATGCATATTACATTCCCAGGTATAGGGGATTCTAAATGCTTCACCACCACCACCATATAGCTGGAATATTGCTGAGTGCGGCGTAAAACTAAACTCACTCACTCATTCTAAATGCTTCTCACAGAATGCTCATCTGAATTAAATACAGCAGTTGTTGAAGATATCATACAAAGTATCTTTTTAGACAACAGTTCATTTCTGCATTCATCATTGGAAACGTGCAGTAAATATTAAGCTATTCAATGCCATTTGTTGGGTACTTTTAAACGACACAAAACATTGGCCTTTCAGCGTTGGCACCACTGAGGCAGCTGGACCCTCAACTATTCCAATTATTCAGCTCCATCTATTATATATATGCTGACATGTCATCTTGTTACAAAATGGTAATTTTTATCTGAAACCAAAACCATTATTCTTCCTGCTCCAGATTACATATTCTGATGTCCATCACTGCCAGATTCTTCAACAAATCACTGGCTGAGTGAAAACATGTATACAATGTCTGACTGTGGTCACTGCATGTTAGTTGGCCAGGATGCCGCCGTCTATAGGGAGCAGAGTGCCGTTTATCATAGCCGCCTTGTCGCTCAGCAGGAACAGCACTGCATTGACGACATCCTCAATTTCTGTAACAACAAAAACAGGAACACTGTTACTGATACAGGAAGAAGGGAACCAATCATTGGTCTGATAACTATCATTGAGGCTAAATGTGTTGAAACACCATGTTTTGGAAACAGTGTTTTGCAGATATATTGCACGCATATTTCTATAGAACAAGGGGGACAGTATGATCCGGAGGTGCAAGAACTCCCTGGCAGATCCCGAAGTGGGGTCACACACACTCATATTTGCAGACAACTTACATGCTAACTGCAATGTCAGCCAAGTCACTTTGTGATCTGGGTATTATGTGCACACCTTATTCTAAATCCTTAATAACACCCGTGAAGATCCGTGTTAGAACTGGTCTTCAGTAACCCATGCTTGTAAGACTGACTGAATGAGTTTGGTTTTACGCCGCTTTTAGAATTATTCCAGCAACATCACGGCGGGGGACACCAGAAATGGGCTTCACACATTGTACCCATGTGGGGGTTCAAACCTGGGTCTTCGGCATGGCGAGCCAATGCTTTAACCACTAGGCTACCCTGCCGCCCCTATGCTTGTAAGAGGTGACTGACGTGGTCAGGGTTGCTGGCTTGGTTGACACATGTCATCAGTTCACAATTGTGTAGAACGATGCTCATGATGTTAATCACTGGATTGTTTGGTCCAGACTAAATTATTTACAGACCACCGCCATATAGCTGCAATATTGCTGAGTGCGGCGTTCAACAACCAACCAACTAAATCCTTATCTGGAATCATCAATGTCACAGGAACACCCATGCTATCCCCAGCCACTGAACAGTTTATGCAAATGTAGGAGTTTATTTGTCAGGTAGCGACTTGTCTTAACTTTGTTTAGTAGTCTAAACATGATCAGTTTATGATGAGTGATTGACTCATTCTGTACAGAATTGGGAGGGCACTAAAATACAGACAGAAGGTGAAAATTGTGTAAAAATAGGCACAAAAGTTTCAGGAAGGGACAGTCATCTATTGTAATAATTCTGTGAACTTTGTAGAACATTTATATGACATAGGAAACCAAGGCGACAATGGATCTGCACTACAACATCATGTGTGCCTATCACTTTCATTGACTCATAACTTTCATGGATGCTTTTTGCTTTATGGTGGTGTGCAAGAAATTTATTGTCCCACTGAGAAATCTACATGCACCATTTGTTTTTTCTACTAGCATAAACAATTTATACTTTTAGAGGATTACACAAAGTATCTGATCTAGTTGTCAGATGCCATGTTTGCCGAGTGGGTTACATTGCTGATTTGTGTGCTGGCAATTAGGTGCCACACTCGGGGAGTGGGTTTGAATCCCTGATGGGACTCCACCAAAAACAGTACTAGAATCTGTAACTTTATTCAGAAAGTGTATTCCCAAATATAACACCATGTATGTTATGTTTTCTATATGGTGGGTATAATGGATTTATTGTTTCCTACAGAATATATTTCCCTCCCAGGTGGGATACATTGTATTTGATAAAGACCACATGGACCAGACAGATTCCAACATTGTGACATGGAGGCTAAATAACACTGCTTATAAATCTTCCTATAAAACAATATACAACCTTTATTATGAATCCAACATAATGTGTAGCTCACTCAAATCTATAAGGGTGTGTGAATGATTTATGCCTCTTTTAGCAATATTCCAGCAATATTGTGGCAGGGGACACCAGAAATGGCCTTCACACATTGTACCCATTGGGGGAATCAAACCCGGGTCTTCAGTGTGACGAGTGAACGCCTTAACCACTGGGCTACCCCATCGCCCCAACATCTATCAGATGCCAGGTTCATGTTTGTGTTTCTTTAATGATAATGTGAGTTCCATGCACCAATAGCCCTGTGTAAAGGATTTACTGAGCTGAATGGGTATGTACACCACGTAACCCAAGGCAGAAGGTTGTACAAGAACACGAGCAGCATGTGTAACAAATATGCTATGGGGAGTTCACAAGCTGCAAATAATCAGGGAAAATGTGTGTGCATGTGACAATTAAATCTATCTGGTGATTGCCATCAGTCATTCAGTATGGTAACACCAGCTAAGTGTGATCACATGAGTTGAAATGGGGCTGAATGTCACGTTCCTCATCATTGTGTATATATTTAGTATGTGCAGGTGCTGGGGGGTTACTGTGTGAAATACTGCCAGTACAGTCTAACAGGATATCTCCCACAGCCCCTGAACCACAGTATTTTCCCTACAGCCTAGCCCTCCCTGCACAGTGGTGTAGTGGTTAGCATGCTGGCCTCTCACGCCAAAGGCCCGGGTTCGAATCCCGGTGGAGACACCAAAATTTGTGACCTGGGTGTCATACTGTGTTGTGTCCCTGGGCAAGGCACTTCGTCCACATTGCACTCAGTCAACCCAGCTGTTTAAAATGGGTACCTGAAAAGCGGATGTACGGACCTATACGGTCGCGCTTAGCGCTTAGTAGCAGCTTTGAAAGTACAATTCCGTCAGGGTAATAATGTAACGCCAGATAACAGCAAAGAGTTGGATTCTAGGCGCAAAAATTAGCATTATTATTATTATTATTAATACTAAAGCTGTAAATGAAGCAAGTCTAGATTTCCCTAGGTTCATCTCACTGGGCTTCTTTTAAAGGGGCTTATTTGTTACTATCAAAATTATATATATTCAGAGGTTAAGCGTTAGTCTATCACAACACATTATACTGACTCCAAGCCAACCATCACCTTTTTAACCCTTTACTGGAAGGGTACAACAAGTATCATCTCTTAACATCTTTTGGAATGATACAACCAAGGATCAGGGCCTCGGTCTCTCAGGGCAGGCCCTGTATTGCCTACACCATAGCAGTGGTCCAAACTATCAACAGTGTCAGAAGTAAGTGATGTCCCATCATGCACTAGGATGTCATGACAACCCTCCATGTCAGGCAGGTAACATATGAATACAAGTTGCAACTGGCCAGTCAGAGAGGTAGATTGTCTATCACGTAATATGTGCGATCATTTTAGGGACTCAGTAGTGATCTGAATTTTATGCTTCTTTTCACAGTATTTCTAGCAATTAGGGGAGTTGAACATGATTTTTAACATGATAAGCCGACACCTCAACAATCCCACTGACCCCATGGTTATCTTAAATATGATAACCGATAAATATGATAGGCCCATTACTCATGAAAAATAAAATAACCATTACCACTTTCATTACATCCTGATCAAAGTGTTCAGGAAAGAAACACCCATGTAGGGCATTCTTCACTCATAAATGAAGTCAGACACTTTAACTCTGACCTTCACAGGAATTATTCCCAGTTTGAAATAGCTGAGATCAATTAGATATTTCATTCCCAAGAACAATATGATTACATAACACTGAGAGTTTCTACATGAATATTTTGTAATAGATGTAAAATCAGTGCATTTAATTTTGATATTTGTTCTCTTCAAAATGCTAGGGTTCTACATTTCTCTTCTCACAAGTTGGCAAATTTCAGATGATGTAAATAAAGATCCTACAAACTATAAATCTAAAGCAATAAACACCTTTTCAAAAAGGATTGACGTTATTATGTCAGAACAATTCTGTATGGTCCATGTGGTACATGGTACAGATAAAGGATGTCAGCATATCCCAATCTGCCAGTACATGTCCAGCAGCCAGTGAAGCAAATAATGCAATGTTGTTTACAGTCACTGACAGTGAGTCCCATGACACCGAAGATTAGCAGCAGGCATTTTGTAAAACTACAAAACAACACAAAGTTTTGGCATGTTGTGGAAGAAAAGGAGGATTACAGGCTGTGGAGGCAAGAAGCAGTGAATCAATAGGGAACCATGATGTTACTCCACAATCAGGAAATAGGGGGCACACAGATGACCCTGTTGGACACAGATGATACCCACAATCAGGAAATAGGGAGAACACAGATCATCTTTTCGGACACTGTAGGCCTGCTAATTGCTGTTACCACTTCCTTCTGATGTTTGTAACTCTTCAAGCTCTCAGGCTCTATGCAATCAGGTTCTTGTCAAACATGCTTATTACAGACACACTGATTACTGGATAAGTGAACACAACGCCATGGCTCAGAGGAACACTTAGTTTCTACTGATTGAGGATTTTCATATATTTACCTACTCCTCCTATTTCTGTCTTGTTTATACATAGATGACTTATTAGAAAATAGGACTGGATACATATTGGAAAAACCTTGAGGCTGACATGTCATATGAAGTATATGATGATGTTTTACACAGGGGCTTGTAACGCTAAAAACTGCCATCAAGGCATATACTATCACTGACGGGGTCTTAGTACCTTTTATATAGTACTAAGACCCGTCCAGTGATAGTATATGCCTTGATGGCAGTTTTTAGCGTTACAAGCCCCTGTGATGTTTTATAGAAAATGAAAGGTCAAATTTGTTGGAAACTTGACCAGTTCCAAAAACAATTTTAATCGAAAATATTTTTTATGGAATATGATGAAATAGTAAATAAAGTTTTTAAAAAATTAAAAAATGCAGGACCAAATTTTTCTTGCTTTTACAGACGAGCAGCCCTAAATCAAGCAAAACCGATTTTTTCGTTTTCTTTTCTTAAAGCTATTACATTGATATTTAAAGTGTTTTCCTTAAAAATCTGATTTAACCTCATACCATTTGACATTTTGACTCCAAAAAGTTATAAAACAAGAAAATAATCTGATTCAATAAGTTAAACCATCTATAAACAAAAATAGTAAACGACATTACATCCTACTCCAGCAACCAACAGCAGCAATCAATACCTGAATCAGTGCTACATCATGAGCATAGTACCTACATGTGAGAAGCTGATCTATGGTGGCCCCTTCTTTGATATTGCTGGAATATTCCTAAACACTCACTCACTTACTCATCCAAATATGCATGGTATGTTCATAACTTCATAAACATACACTTGTTGTTGCTCAGCAGTAAGAAAAACAACAGCATGTACAAAATGAAATTGACAGCTATAAAACATAAAC